CAAATAAAGAACAACATTAAAAAATCTTGGAGCACAATTTCACAAATATTGCGATCAAAGAAGATTTTAAATAACAAACCAACACTCCTGTCCAATAACGATGGTCAGCTTTCAGCCTCTGATTCTGCTATTGAGTTCAATAGGGTCTTCTCTTCCATTGGGTCATCCCTTGCAAATGATATTCCATCTTCCAGTACTGATGTTAAGGACTATCTTACAGGTAACTATGCACAGTCTCTGTACCTAAAGCCTACAAATTCCACTGATGTTAATGAAATAATCCTTTCCCTTAAAACCAAGTCTAGTGCCCTTGAGGAGATACCAACTTTAATTTACAAAAAAGCCTCCAGATCTTTAGCCCCTGCTATTGCATTGCTCTTCATCAAGTCACTTGAACTCCAAACCTTTCCAGATATTCTAAAAAAGCGAGAGTAACCCCTGTCCACAAATGTGGTGATCTCACAGATGTTAACAACTACAGACCTATATCAATCCTGCCTAACTTGTCAAAAATATTTGAAATACTAATCTACAAGCAGCTTTACTCTTATCTAGCCAAACACAATACACTTAGCTCATGTCAATATGGCTTCAGACCCAAAAAAGCACTAACGATGCACTTATTAGTATGATTAACTTGATTCATGCAGCTCTTGATAAAAATGAATTCCCTGCATGTTGGGTTATTTGTGGACCTGTGTAAGGCTTTTGACACTGGCAACCACCAAAACCTTCTTCTTAAATTGCATCATTATGGAGTCAGAGGACACTCCCTGCAATACCTCAAATCCTACCTTACTGACAGGCTCCAGTATGTTTCTGTGAATAATTCAATTTCTCCCACCCTACCCATCAACATTGATGTTCCTCAGGGCAGCATACTTGGCCCTCTCCTCTTTCTCATCTACATTAATGACCTTCCAAATGCCTCCCAACACCTCAAACCAATTCTATTTGCTAACGACACAACCTTCATTTACTCCAGTCCTGACCCCCTTGCTCTAAATGCCATAGTGAATACTGAGCTAAATAAAGTCCATCTTTGGCCAACAAACTCACCCTTAACATTGACAAAACCTTCTATATTCTGTTTGGCAATAAATCCTCTAATCAAATAAATCTCAGGATAAACAATACCCAAATTTGTAACAAAATAGATGGCAAATTCCTTGGCGTTCTCATTGACCACAAGCTAAATTTCCAGGGACACATTCTAAATATATAAAAAAAAAGTTTCAAAAACTGTTGGCATTCTTTCTAAGATCAGATATTATGTACCTCGCCCTGCCCTGGTGACTCTCTATTATTCCCTCATCTATCCATATCTCAACTATGGTATTTGTGCTTGGGGTTCTACTACCCAAAATCATTTACGTCCTCTAATTACTCAACACAAAGCTGCTATTACCACAATATCTAACTCTGGCCCCAGACATCACTCGGTACCCCTACTCAAATCTCTGAATATGTTAGATATTAAGTCACTGCACATTCTCTCATGTGTATTATGCATATATAAAACGCTAAACTGTAATGCCAATCATGACCTCATAAACTTCATTGAAGGTTGTAACAGAACCCATGAGCACCACACCAGAAACAAATACAGTTTTGATATTCCAAGAGTACGACTTAATCAAACTAGAAATGCTCTACAAATCAAGGGACCCAGAATGTGGAATGACCTTCCCAATCATGTCAAAGATATGATACACCATATACTGCAGGTATGTTGAAGACATTTTTACGCAGGTACCTGATACCAGATGTCTTCAGTAGCTGAAGGAGGCATTTGAGCGGAATTCTGTGTTAGAGTTTCACTTACAAGATCGAGAATAATGGGAAGCTGCCCTTTCAGGATGTAACAGTCACAGAAAGGATCAGAGGCTTCCACACTGCAGTCTACACTAAGGAAACAAACGTAGGAATGTGCCTAGTGACTGCCCAGACAGGTACAAGAGGAGTGTTGTCAACGCTTACGTCGACCATGCTCTCAGCCACAGCTCAGGATGGAAGGAAGTCGATGAAGAACTCTGTATAGTAAGGCAGGTCCTAGTCAACAACGGCTTCTCTAACGGTTTCGTTGAAGACATCATAAAAAGAAAGGTGAAAGAGTCAACCAACACAACACTTGTACCCCCTATTAGACTATTTTACAGGAACTTCTTTTCGACGGCTCATAAAACGGAGGAAAGGGTCCTGAGAGATATTGTTGATAGGAACGTTATCCCTTCAGACAAAAATCAGAAAATACAATTGGTAATTTATTATAAAACCAGAAAAACGGCCAATCTACTCATGAAAAACTCCCCAGACAGCAAGCAGAATGCTTTGAAGGAAACCAGCATCATCTATGCCTTTAAATGCCCACTTGGGGACTGTAAGCCCCAAAGAACTCAGTATATAGCCAAGACAACAACGTCTCTTTCTAGGCGACTAACAATGCATAAACAACAGGGCTCCATCAAGGAACATATAATCTCTTCTCACAATCAGACCATCACTAGAGAAATCTTAACAAACAACACAGAAATCATTGATAGGTACAGCGATAGCAGGCGGCTCGACATCAGTGAGGTACTACACATCAAAAAGTCAACACCAGCAATCAACAGCCAATTAATGCACAAATATATTCTACCCACTTCAAGGTAGCATATGGGCTAATAGGCCCTCTACAGTTTCATTCTCATGTACCCACCTCACCCAAAACCAATAAAAAGCAAGAGTTATGTCAAATGTTTGCCAGGTAAGTTACGGGTTCACCATAGCCCGTGCTACTTGGAAGTTGTTCCAAGTAGCTGAATCTATAACAACAACAACAACAACGTCAAATGTTTCATACACAGTGTATCAAGTATATCACAAGTGTAGTGTTAAGTGTAAACAAGTCTTTGAGAATGTAACAAGCCCTTATGAAACGCTTCTAGGCGTCAGACCATTAATAAAAATAAATTTTGCAGAATTGATATTTCCCTTACCACCGACAGTGAAGAAAAACATAAGAAATATTGAGAAAATTCGTGTTAGAATGATTAATGATTAATTCCACTGACGTCAATGAGATAATCCTTTCCCTTAAAACCAAGTCTAGTGCCCTTGAGGAGATACCAACTTTAATTTACAAAAAAGCCTCCAGATCTTTAGCCCCTGCTATTGCATTGCTCTTCAACAAGTCACTTGAACTCCAAACCTTTCCAGATATTCTAAAAAAAAGCGAGAGTAACGCCTGTCCACAAATGTGGTGATCTCACAGATGTTAACAACTACAGACCTATATCAATCCTGCCAAACTTGTCAAAATTTTTTGAAAAACTAATCTATAAGCAGCTTTACTCTTATCTAGCCAAACACAATATACTTAGCCCTTGCCAATATGGCTTCAGACCCAAAAAAGCACTAACGATGCACTTATTAGTATGCTTAACTCGATTCATACAGCTCTTGATAAAAATGAGTTCCCTGTTGGGTTATTTGTGGACCTGCGTAAAGCTTTTGACACTGTCAACCACCAAAACCTTCTTCTTAAACTGCATCATTATGGAGTCAGAGGACACTCCCTGCAATACCTCAAATCCTACCTTACTGACAGGTTCCAGTATGTTTCTGTGAATAATTCAATTTCTCCCACCCTACCCATCAACATTGGTGTTCCTCAGGGCAGCATACTTGGCCCTCTCCTCTTTCTCATCTACATTAATGACCTTCCAAATGCCTCCCAACACCTCAAACCAATTCTATTTGTTGACGACACAACCTTCATTTACTCCAGTCCTGACCCCCTTGCTCTAAATGCCACAGTAAATACTGAGCTAAATAAAGTCCATCTTTGGCTAACTGCCAACAAACTCACCCTTAACATTGACAAAACTTTCTATATTCTGTTTGGCAATAAATCCTCTAATCAAATAAATCTCAAAATAAACAATACCCAAATTTGTAACAAATTAGATGGCAAATTCCTTGGTATTCTCATTGACCACAAGCTGAATTTCCAGGGACACATTCTAAATATATCAAAAAAAGTTTCAAAAACTGTTGGCATTCTTTCTAAGATCAGATATTATGTACCCCGCCCTGCCCTGATGACTCTCTATTACTCCCTTATCTATCCATATCTCAACTATGGTATTTGTGCTTGGGGTTCTACTACCCAAAATCATTTACGTCCTCTAATTACTCAACACAAAGCTGCTATTAGGACAATATCTAACTCTGGCCCCAGACATCACTCGGTACCCCTACTCAAATCTCTGAATATGTTAGACATTAAGTCACTGCACATTCTCTCATGTGTATTATACATATATAAAACGCTAAACTGTAATGCCAATCCTGACCTCAAAAGCTTCATAGAAGGTTGTAACAGAACCCATGAGCAAGCCACCAAAAATAAATACAGTTTTGATATTCCAAGAGTACGACTAGATATGCTCTACAAATCAAGGGACCCAGAATGTGGAATGACCTTCCCAACCATGTTAAAGACTGTACCTCTCTCAACCAGTTTAAGATAAAAACGAAGCTATACCTAATAAATTCCCTGTAACCTACCTTACCCTTCTATTGTCATCCAATGTCTGTTTTTTTTAAAAAGCGCTGTTTGTCGGCAGAATTGTATTTGTGCTGCTTTTTCAGCTATGTTTTCATTCCATGTTTTCATTTTACTCTTTATGCTCAATTAGTATTAAGCTTTAGTCATTTAAGTTTTTCATGCCCGAAACGCTTTGCGTAATAGTGGCTTTAGGCATTGTATGTACTAGCCCTAACTATAAATCCATCACTCTGTAAAATCTCTTTTATGTATGTACCTTACCTAAATAAACATTTTGATTTTGATTTTGATTTGATTTATGTAAATATGTGCGTAATTATAGATATATATATACAGTATATATACATATATTTATATATAAATATATATATATAGATTTATATATAAAATGTCCATTGTGGTTATAACAATAGTTATAAGAATGGTCCCTGGACCTCCCGGCCCTCCCCCCCTGCCCCCTCCCGCCCGGTAGTCCACATGTAGCAAGGGTAGAAGAAAGTGTCAAGTGTCCAACCAACTTATTACGAACATTTGGTGGTGTATTTCACCTTGAGCCGGTGTCCAGGATGCCTCCCAAGAAGGGCAAGAAAGGCAAGAGCAAAGGGGACTGGGATTCCGACGCCGAGGAGAAGAAAGTAGCCAGTGTGGTGGCGGCAGACAGCGAGGAAGAAGGCACAGCAGCAGGGCAGAAGAAGGCCAAGAAGAAGAAAGGAAAGGGCAAGAACGAGGCTAGCGACGAGGAGGAGCCCGTGAGAGCTGCGCAGGTGGATGTTGATGAGAAAAAGAAGGGCAAGAAGAAGAAAGGGAAGGGCAGGAACGAGCCAAGTGACGAGGACGAGAGCGTCAAGATAACGCTAGCTGACGGAGACGAGAAGAAGGGCAAGAAGAAGAAAGGCAAGGGCAGGAATGATGTCAGCGACGAGGACGATGTCAAGGCGACTCTGCCTGACAAGGATGAGAAGAAGGGCAAGAAGAAGAAAGGTCGAGGCAAGAACGACATGAGTGACGACGATAATGCCGACGACAAGAAGGGCAAGAAGAAGAAAGGCAAAGGCAAGAACGATGCGAGTGACGAGAATGACGAGCCCGTGAGCAAAAAGAACGAAGGGGCTCAGAAGAAAGGGCAGAAGAAGAAGAAAGGGAAGGGCAAGGAGGACTGGAGCGACGAGGAGGAGGTGGAAGACGTGACCAACCCCGCTGGCGAGAGCGACGACGAGACCCCCAAGGAGAAAGCTTCTTCCAAGTTCACGAAGAAGAAGAGAGAGAAAAAGAAGAAAGGTAAAAGAGACGATTGGTCCGATGATGACGAGGACGAGAACCTCGCCGAGAAGATGATCAATTTGGACCTGGAAGACGGAGCCGATGAAGATGAAATCATTTTAAAACAAAGCATAAATCTGAAGGCAAAGCAAAAGAAAAAGCGAGAGAGAAAGAAAATTCAAGAGGAGGAGGAGGACGAGGAGGCAGATGCCGAGGACGAGGATGACGACACGCAGGAAGATAAAGAAAAGGAAGTTGAAGTGAAGAAGAAAGTGGGGAAAGGCAAGTCCAAGCCACAGGGCAAGGAGTTGCATGAACACATAACGGAAGCTACCAGATCCAGCGAGTCTGAAGACGAAGAATCAATGGAAAGTTTGGAATCCGAGGATGAGGAGCAAATTATAGAATTCAAGAGACCTAAAAGCGTAGAGAAGAAAGAGGCAGTAAAGAAAGAAGTGAAGAAAGAGGCAGTAAAAAAAGAAGTGAAGAAAGAAGAAGTGAAAGAAGTGAAGACAGAGGCAGCGAAAGAAGTGAAGAAAGAGGAGGTGAAAGAAGTGAAGAAAGAGATGGTGCCTGAGCCCATGGAAGACACACCCCCACCCACACCTCCTAAGGAAGCTCCTCCAGTCATGCAGGAGGAGTCTGAAGAAGAGGAGGAGGAGGAGGAGAGCGAAGAAGCAAAGCTCAAAAAAAGGCTGCTAGCAGGTTAGTGGTCTCTTCTACAGTCCGAGTTTTGTGAGACGTACACACAGCCGAGACGTCTCTTGAACAGAGAATACGAATGCTCGCTCATTAACCATGGTGCTGCTGTAATTGAATGCTGTACAGCACATATTTTAACTGAACAAGACAAGGTTATATATTTTTGTTATCCTATATCCAGTTAGCAGTACCTTTACATAATACATAATGTGAATTTACATTAAAAATGTAAATTATTTACATAAAAATGTGTGACATGGGGTATCTACAGTAGTGTGGGTATACAAAATGATTGTATAAAAATGAAATACTGTGTAGTCTGATTTAGTTTTATATGAAGATTTTTTAGGGATAATTACCAATAGGGTCAAGTTGCTGGTCTTCAGATACATCAAGTTTTTGATGTTCTTGTTGGATTAATTTCTGTTTTTGTTTTAAACAAAAGATATGGTATAATTGAAAGAGATGTTTCTCTCTGAAATAGTAGAATGCTTGCTCACTGTGCATTTAAAACTCGCTGATGTATTAACCAGAAACTGGCAGGGTTTCACAGTGTATATTGTTGTATGTGTAATATCGTAAGTGTAGTTAGAGGATGGGAACTATTCTTGTGGCATCCTGTCGTCCCAGTGGTCATGTGACGCTTTAAGACTACTGACAGTTTTGGCATCCTCTGCCTCCTTGCTTGTTCCAGCTGTCTACCACTTTGCAAAAGAGAACTTTCTAATGTATTTGTTAGGCACGTTTGTTTTCTTAGCTTTTATTTATGACCTCTTGTTCTGGAAGTTGCAGGTTTCAAGTATTCTTCTTTGTCAATTTTGTTGATTCCTGTTTACTATGTATTTTGTATCTAGTGATCATGTCTCCTCTCTTCTTGGTTTGGCACATTTAACACCTCTAGTCTCTCCTTGTAGCTCTTTTTTTTTCAGTTCCAGGAGCTATTTTGTAGCAAGTCTTTGCACCTTTTCCAGTTTATTGATGTGCTTCTTGAGATATAGGAACCATACAACTGCTGCATACTCTTAATTTTGGTCTCAGAAAGGTCTTGAATAGTTTCTTTAATATTTCCATGTATTTAAAAGCGATTCTGAGGTGTGCGCAGCCCTGAGCAAAAAAAGTCGTGGGTCTTTTCCTGATAAATTTGATTGTAAAAATTCCTGATTAATAATGATTATATAAATGACTGTAGACCAGAGGGACATTTGTTTATATTAATATTTTCCTAACACTAACATTAGATCCTAACCCTAGTTTTTGTTTGGGGTAGTCTAGCTGATCTAAGGTGTATAATGATGACTCTACTGAACTTGTATGTTTATCCTGGGCCAGATTATGAATTAGGTGCATCTCACATATGTTTTAGTGTGTTGCTAAACATGCCTAATGGTATTTGTTTTCTGTTAGTAGAGTGGGTGGGAAATTTTCCACACTCACTTTAACTGTGATCATTATGCTCCCTATACTCTCTATACTTATTGAACTTATTCTAACCACCTGTAACCATTATACTACTGTTTATATTCAGAAATAACCTGGCCCTGAGGATAACATTTTAGATCGCCCAAGTTGTTACGAAACAAGTCTAGTTTCTATACAGTACAATGATACGATAGCATCTTGAGTCATTTGGTACAATGTACCTCCCATATGTGGCAAATTCTCCATACACATTTCATGCCTTTATTAGCTGCAGTTTGCATGTTTTGTTTATTATTACAGAAAAAGAAGCCTTAAAAAAATTGTCTCACAAGGAGAGGAAGAAGGTGAAGCAGCAGATGGAGTATGAGAGACAGATGGAGGCGATGTTGAAGAAGGGAGGGCATGGTACCTCCTCCTTAGATGACACATTTGCAGTCTCCCAGGCTGAAAAGTCTGACAAGCAGCAATCACAGTTGGAAAATGCAGTAGATATTAAGGTACAGTGCAAAGGTACAGCCTAGGAAGATAGACATGTGCTTTCATACACAGTTTAATGAAAATTTGTTTTATGCAAGTTGTGAAAATTTTGTGCAAGTCTGTTTCTCATATTTTTGGCTTGACTTTATTCTGATGTCTTTTCAGAATTTGTAAATTGTTTTCTGTTGAACACAAAAATATTTGTCTTAATTAGCCTTAAAACAAAAAGCTAGCTATTAGTCCATTATTGAATGAATAATGAAATTATTCACATTATTTAATGTGAACCTCCCTAAGTCCATTATTCATTGTAAATAAATAAAGAGCAAGCTCTGGGAACACTGCAAGACACCATACAGTATTATTTCCTTAATTTTACTAGTTCATTTATGGGATGATTTTATCATATATAAAAGATAAATTCTATGAAATTCTACTTCTGCGCGGGACGCTCCCTTACTTCTGCGCGGGACGCTCCCTTACTTCTGCGCGGGACGCTCCCTTACTTCTGCGCGGGACGCTCCCTTACTTCTGCGCGGGACGCTCCCTTACTTCTGCGCGGGACGCTCCCTTACTTCTGCGCGGGACGCTCCCTTACTTCTGCGCGGGACGCTCCCTTACTTCTGCGCGGGACGCTCCCTTACTTCTGCGCGGGACGCTCCCTTACTTCTGCGCGGGACGCTCCCTTACTTCTGCGCGGGACGCTCCCTTACTTCTGCGCGGGACGCTCCCTTACTTCTGCGCGGGACGCTCCCTTACTTCTGCGCGGGACGCTCCCTCCCCTCACTCTTCCCTGGACCATTCCCTAACCTCGGAAATTAACATTTAGAAGAGTACGATATGCAGTGTGAGCATATAAGCTATCGGAAAATACCACTACCCAGAAACAAAAATTGTTATACATATGCTCTTAAAAAATTGAATAACAGGCTATCTGTGGTCTGCTATAGTTCTAAAATGGCTTGTTCAACTGGAAGCATGTTTGTGGACTGGTTAAAAAATTATTTTTGCAGCATAATTAGAAATATTCAAATAAGTGATGAATGAAGCTCAATGAGGTCAAGGTATTAATTGTTCTGGGTTGACAATGCCCCAGTAACATCACATGATGGATGCATTAAGTGCAAAGCCTTCCAGCCAAACACCACCTCTGATACAGCCAATAGATCAGGGTGTTATCTATACAGTACAATGAAAAGTCTTCATAAATGAACAGTAAATGAGAAAAAATGACATTCTTTGTCAGAAGTAAACAAGAGACAAGGAACCAAGTCACATGATAAAGCAATATTGGAATTCTGCAAGAAACATATTAAGGGATTTTTAACTGGGCTTAGGTTTGGTACTGCTGTGAAAGTCACTCAACTTAAGACATCGCTTGAGGAAAATCCTGCTGTTTGATACTACTAAGTGGCTGAAGAAGAAATTCATTTTAAAGGTTATCAATAAAATTTATGAAGAACTAAGAGACTGGTGTGTGACTCGATAATGTGGTGTAGTATTTAATTACCTAAGTGTAGTTATAGGATGAGAGCTTCACTCGTGGTGTCCTGTCTTCCCAGCGCTATATTCCCAGCATGTAGTGGTTAGGTATTGATGCTGATGGCCCACTCATTGGTCATTTAACAAATGAGATTCTTCAAAATGTTACTGGTGCTGTTGAAGAGGAAGGTGACAAGGACAGTAGGTCACAACCTCCGGGATTTTGTTTCACGCACTGATCATGCAGATCTGCCAGGTTACCAGGGAATGAAAGATATTAGCCTTAAGGGTGACAAAAGGTAGTAAAACCAAAATGAGCAGATATTTTGCTAAAGATAATAGCAGAGAAGCATAAACCAGCAGAGCAGCCAGCACTAGCACCACAGCAGTAGGAGCACAGCACAGCTGTAGCTAGCACCAGCACCACACAGCAGAAGCACAGCGCCGTCATAGCTAGCACCAGCACCACAGCAGCAGAAGCACAGCACAGTCATAGCTAGCACCAGCACCACAGCAGCAGAAGCACAGTGCAGTCATAGCTAGCACCAGCACCACAGCAGCAGAAGCACAGCACAGTCATAGCTAGCACCAGCACCACAGCAGCAGAAGCACAGCGCAGTCATAGCTAGCACCAGCACCACAGCAGCAGAAGCACAGCATAGCAGTATCCAGGCTGATACTGTTGTGAAAATTAAAAAATAAGACAGCAGCACCAGCTAAGCTGTCACAAAGATCTGATAACATAGGTTGTATGTGGAGTACAGAATTAGGGCAAGTTTTACATTTAATGTTCAGACAATATTTTATAATTACAATTTACTGCTAGGTGAACAGGGACAAACTGCCCATTAGTTTCCGCCTCTGCCAGGGATCGAACCCAGACCCTTAGGACTACGAACCCTGAGCGCTGTCCACTCAGCCATCAGGCCCCCCCTGTTATTTTGTTATGATAGGCCCAATGTTATTTTATTAGCGAAGGATATGCAACATTGAATATCTTAATTATAATTTAGACTAGTGTGATGCATGCAGTACTATACCTAAATATATAGCAAATTTGGCTTGATATTGCAATACACATTAAACCATTGCTAATTATTGTAGTGAAAATCTTTATTTTGTAGAGAACTTGAAACACATTCTGAATCTTGTTGCGGCTCTTAGTAACACTCATATTGATGTTGTTCCAGATTGAAAATTTCAGTATATCGGCCAAGGGAAAGGCATTGTTTACAAATGCATCTCTCTTGATTGCAAATGGACGCAGATATGGCCTGGTTGGTCCGAATGGGTAAGCTTTCTAACTTGTAGACACAAATTATTTATTCTGTGGGATGAATTGCTTAGAGTAGATTATTTTTATATAAAACAAAACATATCTATGGTGTCTTAAGATTTTCACTTTTCTTCATTCATCTACCTTCTTTATCAGTCCTGTGTTGTCCATAGTCATCCCCCTCCTTTACTTTACCTTCTGTTTACTTTTTCTGAATATTTCAGGGCAAACCATTAATCAGTCCTGTGTTGTCCATAGTCATCCCCTCTCCTTTACTTTATCCTCTGTTTACTTTTTCTGAATATTTCACGGCAAACCATTTTCCCATATTTTTAAGAAACCTATTTTTGTGTTGTATGCTCATTATTCCCCATCACTGTTCATACCCATCAAATTTTCATTCTTTTTTTAATTCATTTTCCTTTCTGGGGGGGGGGGAAGCCTCTTCGGCTCCCTAGGGCTATCCGGGCTGATATGAATGTATTAGACCCTGGCATCAATGTGCATGGAGTTCTAGGCCTACCTGGGACCACAAGCCAGACCCTGGCCCCCTCAGAGAGGCACGAGGAGCAATGGCCTATAGAAATCCCAATGTGGTTGGAAGCATTTTATGTCTGCCATCAACCGAGTCAAGCACCCAGGAAGGCAAGCGCCTTTCTGGGACGAGGCACAAGGCTATTGCTCCTTGTCTCTGAGGCAGCCAGGTTCTGGTTCGTGGTCCCTGGTAGGCCTAGAACTCCATGCACATTGACTGATGCCAGGGTCTAATACATTTATATCAGCCCGGATAGTTCCGGGAAGCCTTTGGGTCTCACCCAGAAAGTAACATTTCATTACATTCAATGCTGGTTTTTTAGTTTAACCACTAAACTGTTCAAAACGTCATATGAAGTGTGACATTGAGCTCAGTTTAAATTTTCTGGAACTCTTTCAAATGTTTTGTACATAATGTATTAGGCAAATGCTCCAACTTTGTCTAAATGATACCAGCATAACCTGAAAAACAAGAAAATAAAAAAATAATTATAAAATTGAATATTAAAAACTTCAGATTTTGAAATCAGCTGCAAAAATATAAAATATCACCAATTGTTCATTTGGTGTTATTATGCTCTCAGAATAGCATATGATCTTCATTTTCATGTATTTAGAATATAGGTTTCAGTATAGTTTACTGTAAAAAAAAAAAAAAAAGTCAATATGGCATTTGAAATACTATGCACAAATTTAGACAACAAAAATTTATAACTCCAAATGTTTAGAGTTTATGAAAAAATCAATTCTACAGGGATTGTAGAACATACAGCTGTGCACACTATATGTAAAAATGGTGAGAATTGGACAGAAACTAGATTTTTGGATACTGAAGTACTGTAGGTTGAAATTCTAGTTATGGATATAATTGAAGTTGAAGTTATCGACAATGAATAAGGCAGTTCTAATTCATGAATTTACTTGTATGTTTTAATAAACATTGTTTGGCATTCACACTCGAATATCTCAAAGCTGTAGGTCAATGCAGGCGATGAGTCACAATAACGTGGCTGAAGTATGTTGACCAGACCACACACTAGAAATTGAAGGAACGACGACGTCCCTACCTCCTCATCACAATCGACTTGAGAATGGTCCAGGACGGACCGAAACGTCGTCGTTCCTTCAATTTCTAGTGTGTGGTCTGGTCAACATACTGTAGGTCAATGTGTGTTGAAATGAAGTCAAGAAAAAATAACCCCCCAAAAGCAAAATATGGGGATAATTAAAATAATTATAATGATTTAGGGGATATATTTAGGGTATATTTTATATAAGTAAAAAAATAATTAATCGGGTCCCTAATCAAAACAACCTAAAGAAACAAGGAAAATAAAGTTTGAAATCTGAAAAAAATCAGCCCCCAAAAATTCGAAGTCCCAAGCTCTGAGAGGTGTGACTGATTTATTTGTTGACCAATTTAATTCTATCTTCACATAGTTAGGGACGGGTATGCACTCTCCAGGATGTCAAAATTATAACAAATTCAAATATAAACAAAGGAAGAAAAAAAAAAAAAATATTTTTTGGACATTGTCGAAAGTAACTGATAATAATATTGGACGATGTATTAATATGATATATAACAAAATAGAGCATAATGACATACTCATTATTATTTGTGTTACAGTATTATGCAATGCTATAAAGGCACCAGCTGCATATAATGCTATAAAGGCACCAGCTGCATATAATGCTATAAAGGCACCAGCTGCATATAATGCTATAAAGGCACCAGCTGCATATCCACTTTGTGGACACTTCTCACTGCTATTCTTCTTTGTGTGTCAGACAGGTGCTTGCATCTCTTTATTATTGCATTATTCATCAGTTCCAGTTAACAGGAGCTGTTCTCTTGATCAACAAAAACGTTCTTTTTTTTTTTAAATATTCGTCTAAAATCAATTTCTGAAAATATTTTGATGAAAGTTTCATGATGCTGAGGCCAATAAGTTTGAGATTTGTTTAGCATTCTTAAGTAATTTTTATCTAATCCAAATATTTTTTGCTTCCATGACCCCCCCTCCTTATGCTGGGCAGTTTAAGGGTTAAGAAAACCACTGTAGTTCACTAAAATCTGTGGATGGTATTTCTTAAATCTGTGACTCTGCCCCCTCACCCTTGACCCCCTCTGACTGAATTTTTGAAATGTATGAATAAATATGTATATCAGATAAAACTGTAGAAAATATACATTCTCACTCAAATTCTCAAAAATTGATAGTCTCCAGTTTTGCTAAAATTGCATTCCAAGACGATAAATATTAACAATAAATATTAATAATAAATAAATATTAATAACTGAAGTATGTTAATAATTATTTTTGGATGTACAATACTGTATACCAAAATAAGGCTTTGAATGTGTTGGTGTAAAAGTACCTTTTACAAAGGTACAAAAGTGGAAGTATTCAAGAGAAAATTAGATGCATTCCAGCAAAAAGTGCCAAACCAACTGGATTGTAGTAGATATGTGGGCCTGTGAGCCACTCCAACCCACCGTCTCTTGGACCAAGTTGTCACTTTGGCCTACCTTGCCTTCAGATTACCTTGAGGGGATTTCGGGGCTTTGCGACCCCGCAGCCCGGTTGTCGACCACGCCTCCTTGTTGCTGGACCGGTTAACCAGGCTGTTGGACGCAGCTGCTCGCAGCCTGACGTATGAGTCACAGCCTGGTTGTTCAGGTATCCTTTGGAGGTGTTTATCAAGTTCTCTCTTGAACACTGTGAGGGGTTGGCCAGTTATGCCCCTTGTGTGTAGTGGAAGTGTGTTGAAAAGTCTTGGACCTCTGATGTTGATAGAGTTCTCTCTCAGAATACCTGTTGCACCTCTGCTTTTCAACGGGGGTATTCTGCAACATCCTGCCATGCCTTCTGGTCTCATGTGATGTTATTTCTGTGTGCAGGTTTGGCACCAGCCCCTCTACTATTTTTCATGTGTAAATTATTATATATCTCTCCCGCCTGCGCTCAAGAGAATACAGACAATTCAATTGAAATCACAATTCAAGCCTGGCATCAGGCCAGGATTAGGAAATAGAACTCCAGAACCCACTCCAGGTACTCTAGCCCTGGAAACAGCAGGACCTTGCTGAAGGTAGCAAGTCAAAGGGGTACAACTTGAAAATAAAATTGATTATTGTACATTTAGTGTACAAAAACCCAATATAATACAGTACATGTGTGTTACTGTACTAATACCGTGTATCATATGTATGTAAATGATGGCTTTCATCCGTCTTCTCTTTAGAACTCGCTCCAGGATGTGTGGTTACCTTCGTTGATTTCGGGGATGAGCATCTCCGTGGCCCGGTTGCTGACCAGGCCTCCTGTGCACTTAAACCATAAAATATACCCTCAGAATCTAGAGGTATTGTACTATTATCACAACCATCTCCACAATCCCTGCTACTATCCCATCACCCCATACCATCCCTACCACTATCCTATCACCACCTACCATCCTTACTACCTCCCATCAACCACATACAACTTTTTTTGTTAATATTTTCGTCTGGAACTACAGTTACTTACGGTGAATCCCATCAGATTGTTTTCATAACGTTTACTGATGCTTTTGCCACCTGTGGGCCCCACTTGTTTGTTAGGAATTCAGGCCTGCATGATTTGATGCTTTGTTCTGTAGTTTTTTGTATTTGTTGCATTGAGACCTTGCATAATGTTCACTTGTTATGCACCCATAGGAGGTAGGATGAGTGTGATCTTCAGGCAGGAAGTGGGGGGGAGGGGCATGCATGGTTCACGGAAACATTTCTGGTTGTATCTGTATTGTACCTGGATGGGGTTCTGGAAGTTCTTCTACTCCCCCAAGCCTGGCCCAGCATAGCCTGGTTGGTCCAGCATTTCTTGAAGTACTGTTGAATTAGTCAGTTCTGTTTTGAGTTGTGGACATAGTTGAAGTTTGTTATACTATTTAGTTCTTGAATATATTTGGTATGTGTACATTTTTGTTTCATTTAAAAATATTTGGTGACATTTTCAGAATAATTATTTTCTCTCAGGCACGGCAAGACAACTCTTCTGCGTCACATACAATCCAGAGCCCTCAACATTCCACCAAATATTGACGTTTTATATTGTGAGCAAGTAAGTTTTGAATTAGTTAATCTCATAAATAATTCAATATTCAAATGACTGTGTTCTAAAAAAATTAAGCATAACTAGGAAGATCCATTTTCTGACTGACTTTACTGAGCAAATGCAGTGTTTGCAGCCTTGATGGAAACTCATAAAGGACTTCTATACAATGACAATGAAATATAGATATCGGAATATAATCATGAAAAACTGCCACTCCCGGGGTATTGTACTTTCTCTATTATTCTCCAATCTCATTTTTGATACACATACATTAGCTACAGTATCATATCATTCTTCACAGACAATTCTGTAATTTGTTGTAGAGTAGCGATTATGGAGTGCAGTACAGTATACATGTACATGAAACCTCCAAACAGATGTAAACCATGTCTTCTGATCTGCCACAAAAAGCAGTGGGATATTCAGTGTATATGAGATACAGCTCCTGTGTTTAGTAAAACTTAAGAAATTAAAATTAGAACCACATACGAAACATTGTTGGATCACTCGAGTGTGAGAACGATGTAGACAACCAAGGAGTTATCGTGACAAGATCTTTTAAAAAACACAATTTAGTAACTGCAACAATTGCAAGAAAAATGATAGGTTGGAAAATTATAACCTTTCAAATAAGAGATGCCAAACTAATAATGGTACAGTACAACCTCGATTCAACGCACTATATGGCACCAACCTCGGTGCGTTGGAGCGTTGGATTCGTTGCAAGAGGTGACCTTCAAGAGGCATGTGTGTCGGTATCTTTTTCTGGGGGGAGCCCCTACAGCTCCCCGGAGCTTACTAGGCTGATATGCTAATGTCAGACTTTGGCATCAGTCATGTGTATGGAGTTCTTATGGTCCTACCGGGACCACGAGCCAAAACCTGGCCCCCTTTAGAGAGACAAGGGAGCAATGGCCTATAGAACCCCTCCCCCCCTCCCCCATGTAATTGGAAGCATTCTATGTCTGCCAATGACCGGGTTAGGGACCCAGAAAGGTAGGTGTCCCAAAATAAACCCCTATTCTGGTGAAAATTGCAACCAAAAGCCGAACAAGTGGATAGAACTCCCCAAACAAAAACGAGCAAACTAGTATGACATCACCCGTCGTCGAGTCGCTGTCTGCGCAGCCCCAGACCTACCGCGCTGGCGATCCACACCCCAGTTCTTGAGGCTGATGCTATCGGCTTAGTTGTGTGCTCTGGCTCCAGTATTTTTGCGGCGCTGTGCCTTGTGTGTGGCTGCTGTACTCCAGGGGTGCGAGAGCCAGGAGTTATTCCTCAGTACTCGGGCTGCACGTGCCTAGGGTTCCCTTCCCTAGGTGCCTTGTAAGTACTGCTCTTGGGGCTTGGGATTATCTTCCACAAGTTCCTCGCGGTCTGCCTCTGTGTGTCCGTTTTACTGTTTGGTTTCTCGGCCGCCCTTTGGGTACTTGGGGGTTTTGTCTCCCTAGTTTACCTTAGGGTAAAAGGCAGTGTTCGCATTGGTAAGGGGCACAGGTTGCTGTGCAGCTAGTTGTCACCTATCACAGCGGCCAGCTCTGTTCCTTGGCGTACATTGTCCTCTTGCGCGGTTTTGTTTTTCTTTGTTTTTTTATCTTGGTGGGGGGTTCTGCCCTATTTGCCACTGGTGTTTGGCCTCCCCCTGATACTTGGTGGTGCCCCCTGCTTGATCCCCGTGAGTGTACACATTCTTGGGGTTCAGCATTAGACAGTTTATATGGTAGTTTTGGGTGCCGGTTAGCAGTATCCTGCCTGGGTTTACCTAAGCGCGAGTCCTCTTAAAGTAAATGCTCAGGACCCTGGGAATCCCCTAGGGGACGAGTGGGTCCAATGGATGTGACTCCAGGGTCCCCCCTCGCTTTGTGCGAGTTTGAGGGTTGTTCAGTCCCCTTGTCTCAGGGCGACCCTCACTGTTTTTGCCTCTGGCACGCAGCCTGTTGGGTCGGTGACACTTTCGACCCCGAGTCCTGTGAGTATTGTTGCTTGCTGGTGACTCAATTTACCCAATCTGTGGATGATCATCTTTCGGCACAGGCTGCACAGGCATTGCATTCTAGGTTTCGGTTGTTGCAATGCGCTAGGTTGATTGCTCACCCAGATGCCTCGCGGCTGCCCCGTTTTGCTTTTAGGGACCTGGACTTTGGGGTGGTGGTCACTTCGACCCTGGTTCAGTCTGCACCTCCTGGTCTTTCCCCTCCTGTTGTTTGTTCTGGTCCCCCTCCCCTGCTTCCTGCCCCGAAACGTCTGAGGGTTTCGGAGTCGGGGCAGGGGTTAGTTGGTCTTGAGATTCGAGCAGCCTTGGGGGGATGCCCCTTCCGGTGTGGCGACGGAGGCATTTGAGTCTCCTCCCCTGGTCGAAGCCTCTGGGTCTGACCAGTGGGCTTCATTCTATCCGGCTTCTACGGCTTCTCCTTGTCTAGTGGGGTCGGTGCTTGGGGGGAGGACTGGGAGGACCCATTGACGGGGCGATGGGGGGGGGGAGGCTTGCGTTGTTTGCTCACGCCTGGTCAACGATTTGTGGTCGTTTCGGGTTGTTTTTCGCACGGCCTCCAGTGGCGTTTGGTGGCACTTCCCCCTGCAGGGGTGGGGGGGGGGGGGTTCGGGGCTTACAGGGTAGGCTTCTTTTCCTACACTTTGACAGGTCATTTTGGAGTGGGTTCGCTTAGGCATGATCGAGATGACGACGTCCCTCAGATGGGTTTCCCATCTGTTTCCATTGCGCGGACCTGCGGTTCATTCTGGACTTGTCCCGTCTGAACCCCTGGGTTCATTGCCCCTCCTTTCGGATGACCACGCTGTCCCAGGTTTGGCTCCTGTTGGAGCAGGGAGCTTGGTGTATCTGGACCTTCGGAACGCTTATTGGCACGTCCCGATTCATCCGGGGTTCAGGGACTGGCTCAGTTTTGTTGTGGGGCTTCGTGCTTACCACTTTCGTTGTCTTCTGTTTGGTTTGAACCTGGCACCTCGGGTTTTCACGCACCTCACGCGGGTCGTGGTGATCTGTCTGCGTCTGTTAGGTGTTCAGGTGTTGGCCTACCTCGACGACTGGCTGGTTTGGGCTCCCAGCCAGTCCACTTGTCTGCTAGCCGGGGATCTGGTTCTTTCTCAGCTCGCTGAGTTCGGGTTCTTGGTGAACTGGAGGAAGTTCTATCTGGTTCCCTCCCAGGTTCGGACCTGGCTGGGACTTATGTGGGACTCTCGGACCGCTTCCTTGTCTCTTCTTCTGGAGTCTCTTCTGTGGCTGTGGTCCCGCTTGTGCCTGTTTCTGGGGGGCTCCCAGGTCACCCAGCTGTTGCTCGAGGGTCTGTGCAGGAGCTTGAACTTCGTGTTGCTGGTCTACCGGCCAGATTGGGTTTGGCTTCGTCGGCTGTTCTGGTTCCTTCAGGGACATCCCTTCCGCCTCTCTCGCGATCATTGGGTTCGGACCCCGGGGGCCTTGCGTTGGTTGCTGCGTCACTGGCTTTCTCTTTGGGTTTTTCGGGGTTCACCTCGAGTCTTTGCATATGGTGTTTTTGACTTGAGTTTATCATCATCTCTATGGTGATCAGGTGGCTTCCTTATTAGTGTCCCACCTGTGAGCTTTGTCTCGGTGGCAGTATGAAGTTTCCTGGCGGTCCTTTCGGTTCTTCTTACGTCTTCGTCGTTGTACTTCTCTTTCTGTTAGGGTGGTGTTGTCCTTTCTCTCTTGGTGGTTCCAGGACCATCTTCTTATGCCTAACACTGTCGCCTCGTATCATGTGGCGCTGGCGGGGCCACTTCAGCTTACTTTTGGTATTGATGTCATGTCTGTGCCGTTTCGCAAGCTGTCTTGGGCATTGTTTCACCTCCAGCCTGGTCATGCGTCGCCTGAGCCATCCTGGTACTTGGACAGTGCTCTCTTTTCTTTCTTCTCATTTTACTGTGGCCCCTTCGGTTCCGGATTGTTTTTCGAAGGCTCTTTTCCTGTTGGCATTGGCCTCTGGGGGTCTGGTGGGTGAGCTTCATGCTCTCCTCCGGCGCAGAGGTTTCTGCTCCTTCGGTCGAGGTGATCGGTTTGTTTGTCTGCAGCCTTCTTCTTTTCTGGCGGAGAATGAGACTGCTGTGTTCGGGAGGGGTCCCTGGGTTGTTGATGCTTGGTTGGTTCGGCCAGGGGTGCATCATATTTTGTGTCCGGTTGAGGCTCTCCGCCGTTATTTGTGCGCCACGGCTTCTATGTCCATGGATGCGCTTTGGGTTGATCCAGTTTCTCTTCTTCCCTGTTTGAGGGTGCTGGTCTCCCAGGTCGTTCGCAAGATTATTAAGGCTAGCCAGTTTCGGTCTATCCCCGTGCCCATGACGTCCGCAAGTTCGCGGCTCTTGCCGCCATCTTTGGCAATATGCCCTGGGCTGAAATTCGGGCGAGGGGATTTTGGCGGTCAAACAGGGTCCTGGCTGCTCATTACCTTGTAAACGCTCCTGGGTCCCGGTCGGGCTTGTGTCGCTGTGGATCGGTGGATGCAGCCAATTGTCTCGACTTCGGGTTCAGGAGTGAGCAGCAACCGCCTCCCGGGTAAGTCCCTATTCTTTTCCCGTGGGTAGTTAGCTCCGGGGAGTCATAGGGGCTCCCCCCCAGAAAACCAGCATTGAATGTAATGAAACGCCATTTTCTGGGCGAGTCCCGGAGGCTACCCAGCATCCCTCCCTCCCTCCGGTCAGTGTTTTTTTTTTTGCGTGTTTTGACATCCAGCCTCAGAACTGGGGTTGTGGATTGTCGGTGCGGTAGGTCTGGGTCTGTGCAGACAGTGGCACGATGATGGGTGACGTCATACTAGTTTGCTCTATTTTGTTTGAGGAGTTCTATCCACTCGTTCGGCTTTTGGTTGCAATTTTCACCAGAATAGGGGTTTGTTTTGAGACGCCTACCTTTCTGGGTGCCTAACCCGGTCGATGGCAGACAAAGAATGCTTCCAATTAGACGGGGGGGGTGTTTCTATAGGCCATTGCTCCCCTTGCCTCTCTAGAGAAGGCCAGGTTCTGGCTCGTGGTCCCCGGTAGGCCCATAAGAACTCCATACACATGACTGCTGCCAAAATCTGACATTAGCATATCAGCTTAGTAAGCTTTGGGAAGCCTCCGGGACTCACTCAGAAAATGGTGCTTCATTACATTCAAGGCTGGTTTTTTCTTGTAAACAATAAAAATGCATTATCATATTATATACTGTACCTATATATTACTACTCTACTAAAAAATACTGTTACAGTTGTTATTTACCTTATTGTTGGAGTTATGTCCATCTTGATTTCTCATGGAATTGTGCATGCTTTACAGTAAATATGTACTGTACTGTATTATGCCATTAGCACTGTATTGATTAGTACTTCTGTATGTTGAGTACTACAATACAGTTTATGAAAACTATTTTACATTAAAATTTCTGTACTTGGTTATCTTGAGTTATCTTGAGATGATTTCGGGGCTTTAGTGTCCCCGTGGCCCGGTCCTCGACCAGGCCTCCACCCCCAGGAAGCAGCCCGTGACAGCTGACTAACACCCAGGTACCTATTTTACTGCTAGGTAACAGGGGCATAGGGTGAAAGAAACTCTGCCCATTGTTTCTCGCCGGCGCCTGGGATCGAACCCAGGACCACAGGATCACAAGTCCAGCGTGCTGTCCGCTCGGCCGACCGGCTCCCTTAAACTGGTACTGGAACCTTAATTTGAACACTAACACTATGTACTTAAATTTATCACTTATTCTAACTGTACTGTACACTCCACACACGATGTTCATAGATGTTTGCATCAGCTGTGCTAGTGCTCGCTGCTGCTGTGTTTACTTCAGCTGCTTCTGAGCTGGTGCTGGCTGCTGTTGTACCAGTGCTGGGTACGGCTGTTCTCGTGCTGGGTACGGCTGTTCTCGTGCTGGGAACGGCTGTGCTTCTGCTGGGTACGGCTGTGCTGGTGCCGGGTGCGGCTGTGCTGGTGCCGGGTGCGGCTGTGCTGGTGCTGGTTGATTTTCTGCTACTAGTTCTTGCAAAATATTGCTTCATTCTTGGCATTAATAAGGCACTATTAGTAAGCCCCTGAGACATTTTGTTGTATATAATAATACAGCTGTAGTCAAAAAATGGTAAATTCCATGATTATTCTTCCACTGGCGGAGAAATATGTCAATCACAGACAAAGCTAAGCGCACTGGGTGCCTACTGAATGAACACAGACTAGGTCTATACACCCTACAGTGGGCTGGTGTGTAAGCCAGATCCAGTAACATAAATTTCTCTCAAATATTGGATTTACATCAAATTATATATTTTTGGGTTATATGTTTAGTTTAGCAACATTATTACGATAATAAGAGCTATAAAAAAAACTTATTTTAGAACCGATTTATTAATTTTATTATTTCGAAGCCGTAGGTCACTGAACTGTGGTGACGAAATCGAACAAAACACGCATGGTGTTGTGTGCTCACGGACCAGACCCCGTCCACTTGCGCTGGAGTTGTGCCACCAATAACATGAATAATTTCTCAAATAAGATATCTATCATATTACAGTATATTTTTGGCTTTATATATTTTAGTTTAAATAGGATAATAGTTATTAAAACATCAGTTTTAGAAATGATTTATTAATCTGAAATGTTCAAAGTCATGGGTCACTGAACGATGACAACACAGACGAAAGTGAGTGAAACCTCACTGTGAGGTTTACTGTACAGTATTCCCTTATCTGTCCACCCTCACTCATCTTGGTTCATCACAGAAAATGTATATAAGATTATTTCAACACATTAGCTAGCTATTCACGCTTCAGCCTTTAAATTAATTTACAGATACGTGTGCCACAAATTGGTGAACGAAAATCATTGAAACTCGGTCGTCCACTTGTGTGGACCACTCTGGCTGGTGTTTGGTTAATATGCGTCAATTGTTGTGTGGTCTACTTGTGTGATCCAACTTGTCTTATGAAGGAATTATTAATTGTAATCCGTGATAGAATGAGACAGTTTTCCACCACTCTGTGAACTGTCCCAACATCGTAAGCTTGTGGACCACTTGTGGACCACTTGTGGACTACTTGTGGACCACTTGTGTGGTCCAACTTGTTAAATGAAGAAATTAATTGTAACCTGTGATGGAATGGGAAAGTTTTCCACCAGCTGTGAACTCTTTCTTGACATCGTAAGCAAATCTGAACATCTCCAGCTTCGGCGAACCATTGTTGGTCGAATCGGGTGAGTAAATCCTGCCTGAAAAGTGTGCGAACTTGCCAGAGTTGGTTAAAGAATTGCAACCTGCGCAATGTCACGCTATTGTGATTTCTGTTTACATGTACAGTACCTGAAAAACTACCTGAGTGCCGTTGGGGTAAAATTTACTGCAGTGGCAGCTAGTGGCAGGCTGCCACTGCCACTCAGCATACCAACCTAGTGGTTCGTTATGGTAAACACGAATGTAGATACTTATATACAGTGTAATAACAGCAAAAGGAGTGTGGGGGGAGAAGCCATTTTGGTGATGGGTGTGGCAACATCTGCATGATTTGTCATGTTGGTAGGGGTGGCCACTATGCTCTTTGGGCATTATACCGGCTTAGTTGAACAGTTAGGGTGAACAAAACGTGTAGATACTTATATATAATGTCTGTATATAGGGTAATAACACCACAAACAGTATTGGTGGGGGTGAAATATTTAGTGCGAATGACCTTGAATGTGTGTGGGAAGCAGCCGCCACCTGACTGTGTGTAGCGACGTCTCTATAGTGCCTGAACTAACTATATCAACTTAGTTGTACAGTTGTGGTGAACAAAACATGTAGATACTTATATATAACGTCTGTATATAGTGAATAAAAGCAAAAACAGTATTGTGGGAGGAGAATGTGGATGAGTCAGGTGACTTGAGGGAGGGAGGAAGTAGCAGCCAGTGGCTGGCTGCCACTGCCACTCAGCATGCCAACTTGGTGGTTCGTTATAGTGAACTTGAATGTAGATACTTATGTATAACGTCTGTATATAGTGAATAAAAGCAAAAACAGTACGGTGGGAGGAGAATGTGGGCAAGTGAGGTGTTGAGGGAGTGAGTGGCAGCGAGTGGCTGGCTGGTGTGTGGCGGTCACTCCTCATTGTTTTTTGACTCATAATAGCAACTTAGTGGTTCGTTATGGTGAACAAAACATGCAGATACTTATATATAACCTGTGTATATAGTGTAATAACCGACAAAATTTGTTATTAATATACAGGTATTGACATAACCTGTGGGTGACAAATGCTAATTAGCCCTGAGCATCACAAGGGTTAAGAACCTGGCTGAAACGCTATGCGTGCTAGTGGCTTTACAAGAACGTAAAAACTCTTGTACTGTATATATATAAATAAAAAATTAATAAACAATAGTTTTCTATTATTGGAACATTGAATTAGGCTGTGAGGAATCAAACTCACATTTGAATGGAGGCTTTAATGTTAATTATTTGAGATGTGCAGCAGTTCAAATTTTGACAAAAGAAATGAATTTCTAGAACTTGTATATGTTAGCCTGTTTTAAATGCAGATAAAGTTAAAATGAAGAATGTGTTAGACCCATTTCCAGTCAATTTTGCACTTATCCTTAACATGTATAATATTTTGCGACAAGTTTTCTATGGGACAATGATCTTGCAGGAAGTGATTGCTGATGACACCCCTGCCATTGATGTAGTTCTTCAAGCGGATAAGAAACGTGTTGAGCTTTTAAAGGAGAAAGATCAACTAGAAGGCAACATGAAGAAGAAGAACAAGGACGTTGACATGGATCGTTTACAAGAAGTTTACGATGAGCTGAAGGCCATTGGATCAGATAAAGCAGAGCCCAAAGCCAGGAGGTGTGTATAACTCATAGGTTGTTAGCAATCCTTGTAAGTGTTCACCCATAGTTAAACATACTTTGCTAACCATGTTTTTAAAGTGAGGTAGTAATAATGAATACAATTCTGTTCTATATGAATTCTTCAAACAATCAAGAACAGAATTCTGCAAGTACAATAATCCCATTTATTACACAGAGAAATCACATTTATCGTGATATATCAACGAGAAAATTCACAGGAGCTATGAGGGGGATTCAAACCTATACGCTGGGTGTTCCCAAGTGCACGCTTTAAACCACTAGGCCACGACATGGTAAAAGAATTACAACCTGGGATACTACTGCATCCTCGAGGATACTGTTGTGGTGTGCTCGTTAGAACCTTACACTGCAGCCAATAAGCCATGACAGACCCGTACTCATAAAGAGGCCGAGTTCATCAGTGAAAAGAAGTCTGAATTCTGCATGATGTACCAAAACAGGTTCACCCAAGCCACCAAAGTATAACATGGGAAGATGGAAACTTCTGGGCTTGAGGCATCAAACGGAACCTGGAATTGAATCCAAGGGGAACAGCCAAGCAGTCTTTTACAACATGTTCCGGGCTGATTTTTGGGCTCGAGTTTTTGCATTCTAACAATTCTCATGGTCGGGTATTTGTTTAATATTCTTGGTTCCAGTGTATCTTGTGTTGCTTTGGGCAGTGTCTCCTGGCCTGGATTTTCTCCTTTGTCTTAGTACCTGCCGTCTCTCTTCCTCTCTGGTAAGTTTTGTACGTTCATTCTCTGTGCTTAGTTCTAGGAAACCATTGATGGGTCCTCCAGAAACCCAACATTGAATGTAATGAAACACCTCTTTTTGGTAGCACCCCAGTGGGTCCCTGATTCCTGGCCTTTCCTCCATGTTCATCAGTAGGTTCTTATCAGCTCCAGAACTGACCAGAGGTTCCAACTGCAGGCCGAGACTGGGCCTTCTGGTGGATCCTATTGGTACTAGCAACTAGTTCAAGCTAGTTTTGAGTGAAAATTGTTTCATTTGATTGTTGTGGAGTTGTTTGGTGGTTTCGAAGCTTCATTTTCTGTGAACCCTTCAGTTGTCTGTAAAGCTCCATTGACTTTCCAGATGGTTTCTTGGTGGGGGTAGGAAATTGACACACTGCGGCTGTGTGTGGGAGGCCAGGTTATGGTTCTGATCCAGGTTAAGCCAAACACAAATCCTGCAACTGTTGTGACCCATTAGACTGAACTGTCTCAGTGAGATAGCTTCAGGAGCCTCCAAGGCTCTCCCAGGAGGAGACATACAGTATCATTATATTCTATGGCAGGTTTTGTATAATTACCTCCTCTAGTAATTATTACCTCCTTGCTCTTCAAGAAACATCAAATCAGACAAGCATGACAATACCACCATTCAAAATGAATTAATAAGCAGTGGGCGATCGACAATCGACTTGGGAATGGTCCAGGACGGACCGAAACGTCGTTGTCCCTTCACCTTCTAGTGTGTGGTCTGGTTAACAATAAGCAGTGCTTTTTTTTTTTTAACGGGTTATTCATGCCTGTGCCACCTTTTGGGCACTTTTAACACTTTCGCTCGCCGCGTGGGTGCACTGTAGATTTGACGTCATGATCTCAGCGGTGCGGGCGAGCGTGCGGCGACACTGAAATGTGTATACGCGTTTCAGTTTTCTCACCTTAATTCTCGTGCTATGTCATTCGTTTAGGTATCATTGTGTTTGCAATAGAATTCCCTACAGGTGTATATGTATATAAGGTCTAGAAGCCTGGCATGACTCCTCACAGCAAAGCCTAAATTCTGCAAAAATTACCCGTGAGCACACAATATCAGTAAAGTGTGTATACTCGTTTCAGTTTTCTCACCTTAATTTGCGTGCTACGTCACTCGTTTTGGTATCAATGTGTTAGCAATTGAATTCTCTACAGGGGTATATGCCTATAAGGTTAAAAAATGTGGCGTGACTCCCCGCAGTCTTTCAACCTTTCAAGTCTGCCAACCCTTACCCGTGAACGAGCACCAATTGGCACACCCGCAATCTAATGTGTATACTCATTCTCTTTGATAACATCAATTTTCGTGTTACGTCTTTCATTTTGGTATCAAATTGTTTGCAATATAAAGGCGCGTATTTTAAAACTACAGGGGTAACTCAGTTTAAGAGTTTAATTCGTTCCTGGAGACGGCTCGTAATCCGAAGCTAATTTCCCCATAAGAAATAATGGGAAAAGAATTAATCCGTTCCTGACTACCCCAAAAACCCCACATCAAACTAAATTTTTATACCTAATTCATCTAAATAAACCTACAAAACTATGTTCAAGTTATTACCCTTGCTGAGGACTGCTGTTGGTGTATAGAAGATGTGAGGAGGAGGGAGGAGGAGAGATGTTAATGTTTGGAAGGGAGTCTCCTTCCATTATAACATCAGGCAGTGAGGACTTCACTGGTATGCACACTCTGGCACATTTTGCCTGCATACCACTAGAAATTGCTTCTTTTACTAAGAATCTGTCTAAAGACACTTGTTTTTCCCTACATTTTAACACTTGTCTGTATTAAGACATCACATTGTCATTTAAAAGGTCAATGCAACGGCCTGCAACAGCTTTATCTGGGTGAGTTTTTTTTCAACAAAACTTTGCAGTTCTTCCCATACTTCACACATTTTCTTAATCAAGAAGGGACATCCTCTACTGCCTCTACTCACAGCTATTTTCTTAGGTTGAACCTTACCAATGGCTTTCTTGAGACCCATGGCGAGATATATAATGACAACTTTTATGCTCAAATGGCCAAAAAACGGACAAAAAACTGTAAATCCTTGTGAAGAATTCAGGTGGGATAGTCACTGGGCGCAAGACACTGGTAAACTGAGGCGCGATCGCTGTGCCACCATGTGCTAGTCGGCCTGTACACATATCAACAAACTTGTGTTCCGAGGTAACCCTCGCCTTCCGAGACACATTTTCCGAGGAAATCCTGCTCGTATTCCGAAAAACTCGCATACAGGGACACTCGTGTTCCGAGGTACCACTATAGTCCCATAATAATAAAACAATAAATGGAATTTTAACAAATATTTTAAAATTTGGATGTTCATCACCACAAAATTATTTATATCTTTCCAGTGTTCTGAAATCAATTTTCGTGTTACGTCTTTCATTTTGGTATCAAATTGTTCGCAATCTAAAGGCTCGCATTGTAAAACTAGTCCCATAATAATAGCACAATAAATGGAATTTTAACAAATATTTTACAATTTGGACCACAAAAGTATTTATAAACTTTCAAGTGTTCTGACCTCAATTGTCAGGCTGCATCGTCATTATTGTATCAAATTGTGCGCAATCTAAAGGCGCTCATTTCGAAACCACTCCCAGATTGATCGGATAAAATGTAAATTTTTAACAAATATTTTAAAATGGACGCAAGCACGAGTCACCTGCTCAGACTCGGGAGAAAAAATTGTTGACTCAAGTACGAGTCACCGAAGTGCAATAGTGTTCTTTATCAATCGTTTTTTTTTTTTTTTTTGGGGGGGGGTGCAGCCTGTTTGTAAGCTGAAGACTGCCTGTACTGCCCATTGGTAGATACTGTACTAGTATTATAATATCTACCAATAAAAAAATTCATTATTTTGATACATCTGTAATAGTTTTGTCATGAAAATTGCAATTTTAAATGAAGATAATTTTTTCCTTTTAATATTTTGTATATAAATTTGAATTTTTCAGAATCTTGGCTGGTCTTGGGTTTACACGTGAGATGCAAGGTAGGGCAACAAAGAACTTCTCGGGCGGCTGGAGAATGAGAGTGTCCTTAGCCCGTGCTCTCTTCATGGAGCCAACGCTCCTCATGCTTGATGAACCAACAAACCATCTCGATCTGAATGCTGTTATTTGGCTAGACAATTATCTTCAGGTATGTCCCAAATAAACTAGTCCAAATAATTTTCCGTTGAACACCATTATCCTATACCAACTGTCAAGACACTACTGTTTCATGCATGCTTTACCATACAAGTATTCAGTGCTAAATAATGTAACAGTTCCCTGCACTAAGCTCAAGATCTTAACTCTCCAACCTATTAATCTGAATAATTTTATGCTAGGAAAGATAATGTAATATTAATGGCCCATGTATTTTCATGTTGTTCCTTTGGGTAAATTCTTATCTACAGTGACTTCCCATCCTAGAGAATGTTTACTGCACCATGTGCCTTTTATAGATCACCATATTTATATGAATATCACTTTTTCAAGTACAGTAACTCCCTATCCTGTGCTCCTTAGAGTAATCCCCATCTGTGTTCCCCCCGGGTAACACTCTCTCCTTGCGGAGGTGGCCACAAGGCTGCAAATACAGAGAAACCTCGGTTAACGAATTTAATCCATTCTGGCACCGAGCTCATCGCGTGAAAAGCTTATCTTGCGAAACGAATTTCCCTATTTAAAATAATGGAAATACAATTAATTCGTTACACCCCCGAAAAACATCCATGAAATTTTATAATGTAATTATAATACATGTAATTATTTTAAATGTTTTGTTTTACTGCTTTCAATTGTACTTTACCTTATGAAGAGTCGTTGCTGGCTTGAGGGAAACAATGGGTAGGAGGAGAGGGGTTATGGTGTGGAAGGAGAATCCACCTCTGAGTAAGGCAGGCTTTGCTATGATTTCCTCCTTCAAATCTATAGTAATTGTCTTTCTTCCTCTTGGCAACACTATCTTTAGCAAGCAGCTTCTTTGGCAACATTGTGGGTTACAAATTGTAGTCACAAAACCACAAAAAACAAAGAAAGTACAAATAAATGCAGAGGAATGCTTATGCTGCAGGATAAAACACAGTCGTCGAGGGTTCAGTTCCCGAACCGATTATGTGCCTCTGTAATCCTTTACACCACCGCCCACGAGATGGGTATTGGGTACATAATAAAAAAATTGAATTGGAGGCGTCCGAGAATTTGCGAGAACCAGCGGGAATGTTAGGAAGCACCTCGTGGTTTTCTCATTAACCGAGTGAAAGGTCGTCAATCGAGACAAATTTTCTGCAAGTGGCTTGCTCGTTACCTGAAATTCTCCTAGATAAGGCTGCTCATCACCCGAGGCTCCTCAGTATGCCTAAAAGGATAAAACAGTCATCTTAAGATAAACCACGCAAGCAAGTATCAAACGTCATATGCCAAGACATACCTGGAGCATGCCTAGAAAGGGTTTCGGGAGTAGTTCTACTTCCTGAGCCTGGTCTGAGGCCAGGCTTGACTGGTGGTGGAAGACAATGAAACACACCATCAGTCCCCTCCATTCTGGACTGAATCTTCTCCAGCATCTTCCTAGCATCATTATGACCCCTGTAGAAATGTTTCAAACATTTCCTGGGGTGCCAGCAACAAGGGTCAGGTTGTCTTAATGTTCATGACCTTGTCTGATGGATTATGAAGGAAGGATCTTACCTCAGGGAGCAACCATGCAATCTGTCCGAAAAGGCGCTTTTTCATAGTTACTCAAAAGCACCGAGTGCTGTATTATTATTTGAAAACTAAATATTATATTAATATCCTTGAAGAGAGTTATTTTTGGCACTGCAATAAATATTTCTAACAAATTGGCATTTTGAGTTTTTGAAATGTATGAGTTAATTATGTTTAAATCTTTATTAGAGGTGCAATAAAATATATACTTTTTGCAGGGTTGGAAAAAGACACTGTTGGTTGTTTCCCACGACCAGTCGTTCCTTGATAATGTGTGTACGGATGTCATCCATCTAGATCAACACAAGCTGCATTATTATAAGGGGAATTACTCAATGTTCAAGAAGGTAAGGGCCATTGCAGTTTAATTCGGATGCATTTGTATATTCAGTTTTGTAACCATATTTAATGGTTTTTATATTTGATTCACTTTGACTAATATTTGGTTGACAAATGAATATTGATACATTTAAGATTTGAGGAAAATTAAAGTGATAATTATTTCAGTTGTGCGAAAACCATGGGTCTCCTGTGATGGAGGGAGGGGAAAGATAGGGCCATATTACAGCACTGTGTGTTCGTGCATAATGCCTTTGTATGTTTTGGATAGTGTGGCATTGATTGACATTATTCCATGTGTGTATGTGTATTAAATTACAAGAGTTTTTTAGGATTAAATAGTCAAAAATTGTAATTGAAATCATGCTTTTCCCAATATTTATTGAACTCATTGTTTACAATTTTCCTTTATTTGTATTGCACATGATAGCAGTAACTCAAGACGGCTATGAAATGGTAAACTTAACAAATTGGTCAACAGACAGACACAGCATGGTGGGACTATTTGACAAGCTTGCATGTAAATGTGAATCTTATCAAGACTGGCAGTGTAATTTGAAGCTTGTGTGTGTGTAATTGCCTAAGTGTTATTAGTCGAGTGTAGTTACAGAACGAGAGCTACATTCTTGGTGTCCCGTCTTCCCAGCACTCTTTGTCATGTCATCTTTAAAACTACTGATGGATTTGGCATCCGCCACAACTCACTTGTTTCCACTGTACCAAACTGCTAAAGTGAACTTTCTTGTATTTGGCACTTTTGTTTGCTTAGCCTGAATCTGTGACCTCTTGCTTTTGAAGTCGCAGGTTTCAAGAATTCCTCTGTCAATTTTGCCAATTCTCGTTACTATTTTGTTTGTGGTGATCATACTGCCTCTTTTTCTTCTATCTTCTAGCTTTCTCATATTTAACACCTCTAGTCCTTCCTCATAGCTCTTGTTTTCCAGTTCCAGGATCCATTTAGTAGTGTCTGCATTTTTTCCAGTTTGTTGTGCTTCGTGAGATATGAGTACCATATATGAACACTGATGTACTGAACAGGGTGAGAATAGCTTGAGCTTCCTCATCCCTTTGTTTGTATTTATGCCTCAATAAACTTATTTCAATTTCATGAACTGCATATTCCAGTTTTGGTCTCAAAAGGCAAGGCAATTATCAGGAGAAAGTGCTTAGTCATAACCATATAGCATTTGGAGGAATCGGGATAAGGATGATAAGGATTTGGGATGAACAAGGGGAAAAGAAATGGTGCCCAACCATTTTAGACTGTTGGGGATTGAATGCCGACCTGCATTAAGTGAGACTGTCGCTCTACCATCCAGCACATATATTTAAAGGAGATTTATACAGTGTCCTTCATGTGGTCTTCTTGTGACAGTGTGTTCTCCAGAACTACCTGTAGATATCTTTCTTTGTCCAAGTTCTTTATAGCATTTTACTTAATTTATTGGTTGTGTGGGATCTATTTTCTCCTCTTTCTCATTCTAAAACATGGCATTTATTTACATTGCATTCCTTCTGCCAAGTGTTTCTCCATATTCTTACTTTGTTCAGGTCATCTTGAAGGGTATGACAATTGTTTCTTATCTTCTCTAGTAGTTTAGCATCATCAGCAAACATGTTCATATAATGCTGTATTCCCTCAGATAGATTGTTTATATTGACTGTGAAGATTACTGGTGCTAGAACTAAACCTTGTCTTACTCCACTAGTAACATTTCTCTTGTCTGATACATTGCCTCTGATTATCACTTACTTTTTTGTCAGATAATTTTTTTTTTTATCCATGTCAAAAGTCTTTGTCACCCCTCCAGCATGTTCCAGCATCCAGAACAAGCTCTTGTGTGTGACTGTCAAAAGCCTTTCTTTAGGTGCAGATAAATGCAGTCAGCCCAACCATCTTTTTCCTGTAAAACTTGTGTGGTTCTGTCATAAAGACTAAGTAGATTTCTTACACAGAGTCTTCCCGTCTGAGAACCATAATGTCCTTGTGTTACTTCGTCATTTCTCTCAAGGTATTCTACCTTATTGGTTTTGATTATTTAGTGTAGTTATTTGACAGCCACACTTGTCAGCAATATAGGTCTATTATTTGGAAGGTGTTCTTTGCTAACATTTTTATAGAGTGGTACTGTGTTTGCCTTTTTCCATATATCTACTAGGATTCTCATTCGTGAAGATGCCTGAAAAATTAATTGGTGTAGAATGCTCAGTTTGGTTGTGCATTTCCTCAGCACCCAAGGTTAGAGTTGATCTGGGCTAATTGCTTTGTTTCTTCCTAGCTCTTTGAGCAATTTTTCAAATTTGCCCCAAAGCATATGGTCCCCGACCAGACCTCCTGGTTGCTGGACTGGTCAACGAGGCTATTGACGCAGCCTGACGTATGCCCAGTGGCACCTATTGCACTTATATGGTAGACAAACCCACGTGTGCTCTACAGAAGCCGTTTACATGTAAATGCCTCGGAGAACTTTTCTATGGTGTTATTTGTCCATTAGTTTGCATCAGACAGCTTCGTATCATCCTTTGCAGATGGCACAAAAATCGGCATGAAAATTATCTCGGCTGAAGACATTGAAAAACTTCAAGCAGATATTAACACTTTCGCGCTTTAGATTAGAGATAACTCGTCGCTGTTTTCTCTTACGATTCCGCATAACAGCCTACTTTTCTCGTCCATCGAAAAAATATTTCTATAAATTCCATTTTTTAACCGAAATGGATGGGGATACTTTTGTTTTGTAGGGAATTTATATGCGAATGTTTTGGTACCAGAATGAATATTATATCACATAAACTTCTATGAGTAAAAAAAAAATACACAAAGTATGTTTGGGGGTGTGGCGAGCGTGTGGCAGTGGGTTCCCTTTAGCCATTGATATATCCAACACGTGGGAAATATTTGTATGTGTTATGTATATGTCTGTGTAGGGAATTTTACTGCGATCACTGTCGTACAAATTATAAAATGTTTCAACAAGTATAAGCATGACAAACATCAAACGAACGAAAACAATGCGTTCGTTTCTGCCGCGAACGCATACTGAGCGACGTGGTTCTATATTTGGCGCTTCTCTTACACATGCTTTGTACAAATATTATACAGTTCATCTTATAGAAAATTTTATTGCGAACACATTGGTATAAAAAAGAAATACGTACATAGAAAAGTAGGGTCAGGAAACGTATAAACTTTCCAAGCATGATTACCCCCTGTGTTTTCGCCAGTGCGCTCGCGGCTAACTACTCTCCACTTCACACACTCTTGCGGGTGGGCAATTACCTATATTAAACATTCATATGCATATGTCCGTGTAGAGAATTTTATTGCGATTCCAACGATACCAAAATTAGCAATGTAGGACAACTGTAGGCTTCGCAACCATTAAGAGAGTGGAAACATTTTGTTGCTGTTTGGCGCTCTCAGCGAGTGATCTGCATAGTTTTTTATTTGGTGTTGATACTCCTTATGCTTGGGCGGCATTTTATAGGTATGCTCTTATAGACAATTTCATTGCGAACACAGTGATACCAAATTTAAATACGTGCGCCTTCAATTATTGTCAGGACAGTCAAAAGAGTGTACACTTTTCGGTCTTACCGCGTAGGCACGCGAAGTGCCGAAAGCATCTGGGGTATTGTTTTTTTTTGAGCGCCGAGAGCGCGAAAGTGTTAATATAGTTTTTGACTGGGCAACAGAAAATAACATGATGTTTAACAGTGATAAATTCCAAGTATTCAGGTACGGTAAAAATGAGGACCTTAAACATAATACAGGATACAAAACACAATTAAATGTGCCCCATAGTAGGAAAACAACATGTGAAGGATTTGGGAATAATGATGTCTGACGACAACGTTTAGGGAGCATAACCAAGCAAATATTGCGTCAACCTTAAAAATGATAGGATGGATTACGAGAACTTTCAAATCCAGGGATCCCATCACAATGGTTGTACTATACAAATCACTTGTACTGTCCCGTCTTGAGTACTGCTCAGTACTCACTTCCCCCTTCAGAGCAGGAGAGATTGCTGAAATAGAGGGAGTACAGAGAGCATATAATGCATACATAGACGCAATCAAGCACCTAAATTATTGGGATCGTCTCAAAGCTCTCCAAATGTACTCACTAGAAAGAAGACAAGAGATATATCAAATAATATACACGTGGAAGATACTGGAGAGCTAAGTATAAAATCTACACAGTAAAATAACAACGTACTAGAGTGAACGATATGAAAGAAAATGCAGAATAGAACCAGTGAAGAGCAAAGGTGCTATAGGCACAATCAGAGAACACTGTATAAACATCAGAGGTCCACGGTTGTTCAACACCCTCCCGTACTCTCAAACGTAGTGTGTCCCCGTGGCCTTCCTCCTACCACCGTAACTGGCGATGGGAAACTGCTTTGGCACGGCTGCGGGTTAGTCATACTCGCTTAACCCACGGTCACTTAATGGAGTGCCGCCCTGCTCCTTATTGTCCGAATTGCATTGTCCCTCTTACAGTTGTGCATATCCTTGTTGAATGTCCTGACTTCCAGGACGAGTGTGTCTCTTGCTTTCCGACTGTCCCTCGCAGTCACTTGTCCCTCGATAGAATTCTAGGTGAATCGGATACTTTGATATCATTCGCCTTATGCGTTTTTATTCTCGTATTGACATTCTTGGTAATATTTAGCGCCCTCTGATTATTTCGCACTTTGATGGTGCTACATAGCCTTCCCGGTTTGGTGCCTTCTTTTGATAATTACCTTACCTCAACATCCTCCCAGTGAGCATAAGAAATATTGCCGTAACAACAATGGATATCTTCAAGAGGAGACTAAATTGTTCCCTCCAAGGAGTGCCGGACCAACCGGGCTGTGGTGGGTATGTGGGCCTGTGGGCCGCTCCAAGCAACAGCCTAGTGAACCAAGGTGTGTCAAGTCAAGCCTGGCCTTGGGCCGGGCTTGGGGAGTAGAACAACTCTCAGAATCCCATCAACCAGGTATCAACCAGACCCAGACCCTAGCTCTGTTTCATGAATGGATGTACAGTATTAGGACAATTTTATTCATCGTGGTAGAAATATATGTAAAACTGCAGAAATGCTCCGTTGGTGTATGTTAGTAATGGTTTGTCATGTGTCTACAGATGTTGGTGCAAAAGAGGAAAGAGCAAGTAAAGGCGTACGAAAAGCAAGAGAAACGGATCAAGGAAATGAAAGCTTCTGGATCCTCAAAGAAACAAGCGGTAAGTGCTGTCAGAAATATTTGTTTTTGTTTATTTATATTAACACCTTCAAGTTCCAATTACTGCATGCTAAAATGCATCATCTGACTGCTAAATTTGTAATATACAGTGGTACCTCGGAATGCGAGTGTCCCTGTATGCGAGTTTTTCGGAAGACGAGCAGGATTTCCTCGAAAAATATGTCTTGGAAGGCGAGGGTTACCTCGGGACGCGAGTTTGTTGATACGCGTACAGGCCGACCTAGCGCGTGGGGGTTCGGCGATCGTCGCCCCTCCACCCCTCCGCCCCTCAGTTTACCATTGTCTCGCGCCCAGTGACTACCCCACATCAATTCTTCTCGCGGATTTTCAGTGTTTTGTTGGATTTTTGGTGATTTGACTATACAATTTGTTATTATATATCTCACCATGGGTCCCAAGAAAGCCAGTGGTAAGGATAAAGGCCAGAAAGCCCATGTGAGGATGACAATAGAGGAGAAACAAGAGATCATTCGGAAGCATGAGAACGGTACACGTGTTGTTGAACTTTGTAGGCAGTACAACAAAGCCGCATCAACAATATGCACTATACTTAAGAAGAATAATGAGATTATGAGTGCTAAAGTGGCAAAAGGAGTCAGAACAATAACGAAATAAAGACCACAAATACTTGAAGTGGAAAAGTTGTTATTAATTTGGATACACGACAAGGAGTTAAGGGGTGACAGTGTTTCGGAGGCCATTATTTGTGAGAAAGCCAGGGTTTGGACAGATTTGTGGTGAGGAAATCGAGCAGTGAGCCTCAACCAGGACCTAGTGGCACTCAGATAAACCGTCCCAGGGAGAGCACACCAGAAAGGTCTTCACTGCCTGATGTGATAATGGAAGGGGACTCCCCTTCCAAACAGTAACTCCTCTCCTCCTCCCCCCTCCTCACCATCTTCCATACGCCTACAGCATTCAACAGCAAGGTAAGTAATAACTGGAACATAGTTTTGTAAGTTTATTTAGATGAATTAGGTATAAAAATTTAGTTTGATGTGGGGTTTTTGGGGTAGTCAGGAACGGATTAATTCATTTACCTTTATTTCTTATGGGGAAATTAGCTTCGGAATGCGAGTTTTCGGAATACGAGGCGTCTCCAGGAACCAATTAAACTCTTAAACTGAGGTATGCCTGTATATGTAATGTAAATATGTAATTTAAAGTGGGAAGATCGTACCTTTCACAGTTATCCAAACACTGACAGAATCACATGAGCATTAGAAGAGAAACAAAGTGCAGACATGGTACTCATGGAGTAATAACCCCCCAAAATGAGATGAAAAGTGCCCGAATTTACCTTAAGGTTAGACCACTACTGTGGTCTAACCAAATAAAATTCAGCTAGAATAGGACTAGCGTATGAGCCGCTCACAGTAATTATCAACAACGTAAAAATGCCTAGAGCAACGGCACAAGATCATGAGATCTTGCCAAATATAGGTCGTGTGTGATGCCCACCTGGAGATGCAGGGAAATTAATGTAATCAGCTCATCAAAAGAATTTCTAATTTGTTAGGGGCTAGTATTAGCAGAGGTTCCTTTTATGGGTCCGATTCAGCATATAAATTATGTTTGTACTATCGAGAAAAAAAGGATTTCCTGAAAACATCATGTACTTAACACCTAATTTATTAAACATTACACTAAATTATATTTACACATGGAAATGGGATAATTGTGTACTTTGAGGTGTAATAGGCAAATCACAGTAGTGTCTCTTGCTGACAGCACTTAGGTGAGGTGACACAACCTAGTGTTAATACTGGTATAATGATCACCTCAGCAATAATGGATGCCTAACACCACTGCCGTATGCAACAGAATAATTTGGAGCTCAAAATTGATGCTCGGGACATTAAATTGCATGCACAATATATATACATAAACTAACATGTGTTGGAATAACATTCACAAACATGTGCTCGGTCTAGACTGGTACTGTGTGTGGCTCTTTGCTCTATATGGACTCGCCAAATAGTCTAGGACTCTAGACCATCCACCAGGCTCACTCGCTGTGCAGTTAAGCACTACAAAATGTGAGTCAATGTGTGTGTGTGTACAATTAATTAAAAATACTCTACAGGCATAACACATGCATAGATCACACTCTTCATAGTCGTTGTATGGCGAGTCATCCTCAACTGGTGGGTAGGGGAGGCAGGGGAGCTATGGGTGAAAGAGCAAACTCATGCTACTCATTTACGTCAAAGTGTACAGCCAAGCCTACCAGTCAGAATGCCGTCTCAACCACTCATAGGCCTCCTGATTGACTGAGCTCTGAATGTTACTAGGGTGGCGGTGAGAGGCAGGAACAGGGATTTCCGGCGACCATTGGTTGGCAGTAAAGCTCAGAGCCACTTGAATGGGTACCTGCCCCCACACAACAGCTACTGCACAATGATATCACATTAATGTGTTCTATCAGTGAGAAAATAAGTAGTAGCCATGAGGAGGATTTGAATCCACTGACTTGTGACTCCCAAGCTAGTGCTCTAGACCACTACACCACAACAGTTAAAATCAATATAACCTGAGATTTAGTTGAATCCATTAGGTGTCCTGAGGCTCCCAATCAGGAGCCTCCCCCCCCCCCCATGCTCTTTGGCTTTGTGTAGTCAAGTAGTTCAGTTCCAACACTTCTCATCAAATGCACATCATCACATTTACAGTTAAGAATTGGTGCCCTGTTAATCCTCCAAGCCATTATACGAACCTAGGCCAAATCGCTTGTGATGCGCCGGCCGAGTGTTTTACCATTGTGCCACAAAGACTGCTTCCCGTGCATCTGGTAAGCATTAGAGGTCCACGGCTGTTCAATATCTTTCCAGCAAGCATGAAAATATTGCTAGAACTAAACTGGACTTGAAAAAATTAGACAGTTTCCTGCAAGAAGTGACGGACCAACTGAGTTGTGGATATGTGGGTCTTCAGGCTGTTCCAAGCAACAGCCTGTTGGACCAAGTTATCTCAAGTCAAGTCTGGCCCCAGGCTGGGCTTAGGCAGTGGATCAACTCTCAGAACTTGCTCCAGGTACTATCCAGGTGCGATATTCACATTTGTGTGGAATTGGCACAAATACTTGAAACTTGCATAAGGAGTAACAATGGTTAAGGTGATGTTTGATAGATCAGGTGATGTTTTTGGCATCTAAGATGATGATTTTAGTGGCTAAGGTGATTTTAGCAGATAAGGTGATGTTGAATGGGTAAGGCAATGTTTTCAATTTCTAACAACTTTGCAGGAAAAGAAGACAAAGGAAGTGCTCACCCGTAAGCAAGAGAAGAATCGCGCCAAGAACAAGAAAGAGGAGGAAGAAAATGGACCAACTGAATTGCTTGAAAGACCTCAAGATTATATTGTGAAATTCTCCTTCCCAGAGCCACCACCACTGCAGCCTCCTATTCTTGGACTCTACAATGTTTGCTTTAATTATGAAGGCCACAAGCCACTCTTTAAAAATGTTGATTTTGGTATAGATATGGACACAAGGATAGCAATAGTTGGGCCAAATGGTGTAGGCAAATCAACATTTTTGAAATTGCTTCTAGGCGAGCTAACTCCAAGAGCAGGTGAAGTACGGAAAAATCATCGTTTGAAAATCGGTAGGTATGATCAGCACTCTGGTGAGCATTTAACTGCTGAAGAATCCCCCTCAGAATATCTCATGAGACTATTTAATCTCCAATATGAAAAGGCTAGAAAAGCTCTCGGCACATTTGGCCTTTCATCCCATGCACATACCATTAAGAATAAGGATCTTTCGGGAGGACAGAAGGCGCGAGTTGCCCTGGCTGAACTGTGTTTGTCATCACCCGATGTTCTTATTCTTGATGAACCTACTAATAACTTGGATATTGAGAGTATCGATGCTCTTGCTGAAGCTATCTCCGAGTACAAGGGAGGAGTGATCATAGTTTCTCACGACGAACGCTTAATCCGTGACACAGATTGTAATTTGTGGGTGATCGAAGAGCAAACAATTAATGAAATTGATGGAGGCTTTGATGAGTATAGGAAAGAATTGTTGGAAGAACTTGGTGAAGAGATTAATAACCCCAGTATTTCTGCTCATAATGCTGCCGACCTATAAACTTCCATTATAGTATTGATAATATCCATAGAATTACATTTATATTCTCCATTTATTAACCATTGTGTAATTATGTGGATACAGTATATTTATATATATAAATTTTCCTTTTGCTTCAGGTTACGGCTTAAATACCATCTTATTTGAAATAGGCATCTTTTACTATAATTGTGTGACATTTGCCATTTAATTTATTTAGACTACAGTTTGAAATTTCTTGTTTTCTCAATGTTCTATTAACTTTCTCAATATGATGATGCTCAATTAAAATTTTCTTATTGTATGATTTTTTAAATGTACAGTAATTTCAAAGATGACAAAATGCTTGTTGGGGATAGTAAGGTGGTTTGGGTTACAATACATTAAATATATTACAAGATCAGTAGCTTTGTAAAGTCTTTTTGCTCTGTCATTTGTTTTTTAAAATTATATGCCTATTTTGTATTTTTGCATAATATCGTGCTGAACTTTGTTTTAGATACAGCAATTGTATGCTAAACTTACCTGCAGGTAATAAAAAGGACTTCTTGATTCAGAAATTTTGGTTTCCTTCAAAAATTTAACAAATCTTAAACTTGGGCTTTTATTCATAAAATCCCCACAATGTGTAATTACCAAAGTGTAGTTGTAGGATGAGTGTCCTGTCTTCCCAGTACTGCTTGTTATACAATGTTTGTGGTGTCCCGTCTTCCCAGTACTGCTTGTTATACAACGCTGGTGGTGTCCCGTCTTCCCAGTACTGCTTGTTATACAATGCTGGTGGTGTCCCGTCTTCCCAGTACTGCTTGTTATACAGTGTTTGTGGTGTCCCGTCTTCCCAGTACTGTTTGTTATACAATGCTAGTGGTGTCCCGTCTTCCCAGTACTGCTTGTTATACAGTGTTTGTGGTGTCCCGTCTTCCCAGTACTGTTTGTTATACAATGCTAGTGGTGTCCCGTCTTCCCAGTACTGTTTGTTATACAATGCTAGTGGTGTCCCGTCTTCCCAGTACTGCTTGTTATACAGTGTTTGTGGTGTCCCGTCTTCCCAGTACTGTTTGTTATACAATGCTAGTGGTGTCCCGTCTTCCCAGTACTGTTTGTTATACAATGCTAGTGGTGTCCCGTCTTCCCAGTACTGTTTGTTATACAATGCTAGTGGTGTCCCGTCTTGCCAGTACTGCTTGTTATACAATGCTAGTGGTGTCCCATCTTCCCAGTACTGTTTGTTATACAACGCTTGTGGTGTCCCGTCTTCCCAGTACTGTTTGTTATACAACGCTTGTGGTGTCCCGTCTTCCCAGTACTGTTTGTTATACAATGTTTGTGGTGTCCCGTCTTCCCAGTACTGTTTGTTATACAATGCTAGTGGTGTCCCGTCTTGCCAGTACTGCTTGTTATACAATGCTAGTGGTGTCCCGTCTTCCCAGTACTGTTTGTTATACAACGCTTGTGGTGTCCCGTCTTCCCAGTACTGTTTGTTATACAATGTTTGTAGTGTCCCGTCTTCCCAGTACTGTTTGTTATACAACGCTTGTGGTGTCCCGTCTTCCCAGTACTGTTTGTTATACAACGCTTGTGGTGTCCCGTCTTCCCAGTACTGTTTGTTATACAACGCTTGTGGTGTACCGTCTTCCCAGTACTGCTTGTTATACAACGCTTGTGGTGTAGGGAGCCGGTCGGCCGAGCGGACAGCACGCTGGACTTGTGATCCTGTGGTCCTGGGTTCGATCCCAGGCGTCGGCGAGAAACAATGGGCAGAGTTTCTTTCACCCTGATGCCCCTGTTACCTAGCAGTAAAATAGGTACCTGGGTGTTAGTCAGCTGTCACGGGCTGCTTCCTGGGGGTGGAGGCCTGGTCGAGGACCGGGCCGCGGGGACACTAAAGCCCCGAAATTATCTCAAGATAACCTCCCGTCTTCCCAGTACTGTTTGTTATACAACGCTGGTGGTGTCCCGTCTTCCCAGTACTGTTTGTTATACAATGCTAGTGGTGTCCCGTCTTCCCAGTACTGCTTGTTATACAACGCTTGTAGTGTCCCGTCTTCCCAGTACTGTTTGTTATACAACGCTTGTGGTGTCCCGTCTTCCCAGTACTGTTTGTTATACAACGCTTGTGGTGTCCCGTCTTCCCAGTACTGCTTGTTATACAACGCTTGTAGTGTCCCGTCTTCCCAGTACTGTTTGTTATACAACGCTTGTAGTGTCCCGTCTTCCCAGTACTGCTTGTTATACAATGCTTGTAGTGTCCCGTCTACCCAGTACTGCTTGTTATACAACGCTGGTGGTGTCCCGTCTTCCCAGTACTGCTTGTTATACAACGCTGGTGGTGTCCCGTCTTCCCAGTACTGTTTGTTATACAATGCTAGTGGTGTCCCGTCTTCCCAGTACTGTTTGTTATACAATGCTAGTGGTGTCCCGTCTTCCCAGTACTGCTTGTTATACAACGCTTGTAGTGTCCCGTCTTCCCAGTACTGTTTGTTATACAATGCTAGTGGTGTCCCGTCTTCCCAGTACTATTTGTTATTCAATGCTAGTAGTGTCCCGTCTTCCCAGTACTGTTTGTTATACAACGCTTGTGGTGTCCCGTCTTCCCAGTACTGTTTGTTATACAATGCTAGTGGTGTCCCGTCTTCCCAGTACTGTTTGTTATACAACGCTTGTGGTGTCCCGTCTTCCCAGTACTGTTTGTTATACAACGCTTGTGGTGTCCCGTCTTCCCAGTACTGTTTGTTATACAACGCTTGTGGTGTCCCGTCTTCCCAGTACTGTTTGTTATACAACGCTTGTAGTGTCCCGTCTTCCCAGTACTGCTTGTTATACAACGCTGGTGGTGTCCCGTCTTCCCAGTACTGTTTGTTATACAACGCTTGTGGTGTCCCGTCTTCCCAGTACTGTTTGTTATACAACGCTTGTGGTGTCCTGTCTTCCCAGTACTGCTTGTTATACAATGCTAGTGGTGTCCCGTCTTCCCAGTACTGTTTGTTATACAACGCTTGTGGTGTCCCGTCTTCCCAGTACTGCTTGTTATACAACGCTAGTGGTGTCCCGTCTTCCCAGTACTGCTTGTTATACAACGCTTGTGGTGTCCCGTCTTCCCAGTTCTGTTTGTTATACAACGCTTGTGGTGTCCTGTCTTCCCAGTACTGTTATACAACGCTAGTGGTGTCCCGTCTTCCCAGTACTGTTTGTTATACAACGCTTGTAGTGTCCCGTCTTCCCAGTACTGTTTGTTATACAACGCTTGTGTCCCGTCTTCCCAGTACTGTTTGTTATACAATGCTAGTGGTGTCCCGTCTTCCCAGTACTGCTTGTTATACAATGCTTGTAGTGTCCCGTCTTCCCAGTACTGTTTGTTATACAATGGTAGTGGTGTCCAATCTTCCCAGTACTGCTTGTTATACAACGCTTGTAGTGTCCCGTCTTCCCAGTACCGTTTGTTATACAATGCTAGTGGTGTCCCGTCTTCCCAGTACTGTTATACAACGCTAGTGGTGTCCCGTCTTCCCAGTACTGCTTGTTATACAACGCTTGTAGTGTCCCGTCTTCCCAGTACTGTTTGTTATACAATGCTAGTGGTGTCCCGTCTTCCCAGTACTGTTATACAACGCTAGTGGTGTCCCGTCTTCCCAGTACTGCTTGTTATACAACGCTTGTAGTGTCCCGTCTTCCCAGTACTGTTTGTTATACAACGCTTGTGGTGTCCCGTCTTCCCAGTACTGTTTGTTATACAACGCTTGTGGTGTCCCGTCTTCCCAGTACTGTTTGTTATACAATGCTTGTGGTGTTCCGTCTTCCCAGTACTGTTTGTTATACAACGCTTGTGGTGTCCCGTCTTCCCAGTACTGTTTGTTATACAACGCTTGTAGTGTCCCGTCTTCCCAGTACTGCTTGTTATACAACGCTGGTGGTGTCCCGTCTTCCCAGTACTGTTTGTTATACAACGCTTGTGGTGTCCCGTCTTCCCAGTACTGTTTGTTATACAACGCTTGTGGTGTCCTGTCTTCCCAGTACTGTTATACAACGCTAGTGGTGTCCCGTCTTCCCAGTACTGTTTGTTATACAACGCTTGTAGTGTCCCGTCTTCCCAGTACTGCTTGTTATACAACGCTGGTGGTGTCCCGTCTTCCCAGTACTGTTTGTTATACAACGCTTGTGGTGTCCCGTCTTCCCAGTACTGTTTGTTATACAACGCTTGTGGTGTCCTGTCTTCCCAGTACTGTTATACAACGCTAGTGGTGTCCCGTCTTCCCAGTACTGTTTGTTATACAACGCTTGTAGTGTCCCGTCTTCCCAGTACTGTTTGTTATACAACGCTTGTGTCCCGTCTTCCCAGTACTGTTTGTTATACAATGCTAGTGGTGTCCCGTCTTCCCAGTACTGCTTGTTATACAATGCTTGTAGTGTCCCGTCTTCCCAGTACTGTTTGTTATACAATGGTAGTGGTGTCCAATCTTCCCAGTACTGCTTGTTATACAACGCTTGTAGTGTCCCGTCTTCCCAGTACCGTTTGTTATACAATGCTAGTGGTGTCCCGTCTTCCCAGTACTGTTATACAACGCTAGTGGTGTCCCGTCTTCCCAGTACTGTTTGTTATACAACGCTTGTAGTGTCCCGTCTTCCCAGTACTGTTTGTTATACAACGCTTGTGTCCCGTCTTCCCAGTACTGTTTGTTATACAATGCTAGTGGTGTCCCGTCTTCCCAGTACTGCTTGTTATACAATGCTTGTAGTGTCCCGTCTTCCCAGTACTGTTTGTTATACAATGGTAGTGGTGTCCAATCTTCCCAGTACTGCTTGTTATACAACGCTTGTAGTGTCCCGTCTTCCCAGTACCGTTTGTTATACAATGCTAGTGGTGTCCCGTCTTCCCAGTACTGTTATACAACGCTAGTGGTGTCCCGTCTTCCCAGTACTGCTTGTTATACAACGCTTGTAGTGTCCCGTCTTCCCAGTACTGTTTGTTATACAATGCTAGTGGTGTCCCGTCTTCCCAGTACTGTTATACAACGCTAGTGGTGTCCCGTCTTCCCAGTACTGCTTGTTATACAACGCTTGTAGTGTCCCGTCTTCCCAGTACTGTTTGTTATACAACGCTTGTGGTGTCCCGTCTTCCCAGTACTGTTTGTTATACAACGCTTGTGGTGTCCCGTCTTCCCAGTACTGTTTGTTATACAATGCTTGTGGTGTTCCGTCTTCCCAGTACTGCTTGTTATACAACGCTTGTGGTGTCCCGTCTTCCCAGTACTGTTTGTTATACAACGCTTGTAGTGTCCCGTCTTCCCAGTACTGCTTGTTATACAACGCTGGTGGTGTCCCGTCTTCCCAGTACTGTTTGTTATACAACGCTTGTGGTGTCCCGTCTTCCCAGTACTGTTTGTTATACAACGCTTGTGGTGTCCTGTCTTCCCAGTACTGTTATACAACGCTAGTGGTGTCCCGTCTTCCCAGTACTGTTTGTTATACAACGCTTGTGGTGTCCTGTCTTCCCAGTACTGCTTGTTATACAACGCTAGTGGTGTCCCGTCTTCCCAGTACTGCTTGTTATACAACGCTTGTGGTGTCCCGTCTTCCCAGTACTGTTTGTTATACAACGCTTGTGGTGTCCTGTCTTCCCAGTACTGTTATACAACGCTAGTGGTGTCCCGTCTTCCCAGTACTGTTTGTTATACAACGCTTGTAGTGTCCCGTCTTCCCAGTACTGTTTGTTATACAACGCTTGTGTCCCGTCTTCCCAGTACTGTTTGTTATACAATGCTAGTGGTGTCCCGTCTTCCCAGTACTGCTTGTTATACAATGCTTGTAGTGTCCCGTCTTCCCAGTACTGTTTGTTATACAATGGTAGTGGTGTCCAATCTTCCCAGTACTGCTTGTTATACAACGCTTGTAGTGTCCCGTCTTCCCAGTACCGTTTGTTATACAATGCTAGTGGTGTCCCGTCTTCCCAGTACTGTTATACAACGCTAGTGGTGTCCCGTCTTCCCAGTACTGCTTGTTATACAACGCTTGTAGTGTCCCGTCTTCCCAGTACTGTTTGTTATACAATGCTAGTGGTGTCCCGTCTTCCCAGTACTGTTATACAACGCTAGTGGTGTCCCGTCTTCCCAGTACTGCTTGTTATACAACGCTTGTAGTGTCCCGTCTTCCCAGTACTGTTTGTTATACAACGCTTGTGGTGTCCCGTCTTCCCAGTACTGTTTGTTATACAACGCTTGTGGTGTCCCGTCTTCCCAGTACTGTTTGTTATACAATGCTTGTGGTGTTCCGTCTTCCCAGTACTGTTTGTTATACAACGCTTGTGGTGTCCCGTCTTCCCAGTACTGTTTGTTATACAACGCTTGTAGTGTCCCGTCTTCCCAGTACTGTTTGTTATACAACGCTAGTGGTGTTTACCTAAGTGTAGTTACAGGATGGTAGCAACGCTCATGGTATGCTACGCTCATATAAATGGGTGCACTCATGTCAGAAGACCTTATCTTTAAAGAACACAATAAAGTAGCTGTCACAACTGCAAGAAAAATGACAGGTTGGATAACAAGAACCTTTCACACTAGAGATGCTATACCGATGATGGTACTCTTCAAGATGTTAGTGCTCTCTAGAGTGGAATACTGCTGCACAATGACAGCCCCTTTCCAGGTCAGCAATTTTCTCCATCTTGTGAGAGTGTGCAGAGATCGTTTACTGCTAGAACCCACTCAGTAAAACATCTAAACTGTTAGGACCGACTAAAATGCCTGAATCTGTATTGAGCGCAGGCGGGAGAGATACATAATAATTTACACGTGGAAAATAGTAGAGGGGCTGGTCCCAAACCTGCACATCACATGAGACCAGAAGGCATGGCAGGATGTGCAGAAAACCCCTGTTGAAAAGCAGAGATGCAATAGGTACTCTGAGAGAGAACTCTTATCAACATCAGAGGCCAGAGACTGTTCAACACACTTCACTACACTTAAGGGGCATAACTGGCCGACCCCTCAGTGTTCGAGAGAGAACTCTATAAGCACCTCCAAAGGATACCTGACCAACCAGGCTGTGATTCATACATCAGGCTACGAGCAGCCGCATCCAACAGCCTTGTTCACCAGTCCAGCAACGAGGAGGCCTGGTCTATGACTGGGCCGTGGGGATGCTAAGCTCTGAAAACACCTTAAGGTAACCTATGGTGTCTTGTCTTTCCAGTATTGTCGTATAACACTGAAATTACTAACGGTTTTGGCTTCCATCATCATCTCGCTTAATTCCAACCGTCTACTGCTCTGTTTGCAAACGAAAACTTAATATTTTTCAGCAACTTTGTTTCGCTGAATGTGTCCTTTTTTTTTTTTTTTTTTGTCAAGTTGCTGGTTTCAGGAATTCCTCTTTGTCAATATGGTTGATTCCTGTATGTGTATGAGGGGAGGGGCCAAAGGAAAAGTATCACAATGGAGGAAGGGGGGGAAACATTTTATTTCTCCTATGGTACTCCCCAAAATGGTCTTCCTAGTCATGATGGGGTTCACATATGATTACCTGGAGCTGGTGGGCTCCTGACTTTTCAAATACAGGCTGGTGGGCTGGGTGACCAGGCCCCTTGAGTCAGACAGTGATGGAAGATGTGCTGTGTAGCCCAGCATCATTGGGCTCAGATAGGCTTCATCTTTGGCTCTTCCCTCTGATCCTCTCCATTTCCCTCCCACTTGCTTAGCAGGATTAAACCTCAAGCCCCAGTGGTGACTACCTTGCCACTTGGAGTGATTACATTGTTAGGTCTGATAACTGCACCTTTTACCCATTCCTTAATGGGACCACGGGCCCCTTAATCACACTCGAATACTCGTGATTCCTTCAAACACTGCTGCATACCATGATCTGTTTGGCCCTGCTATATGGTCAAAGTATTTGGATGTTTGTCATGATGAGTATATTTATGCCCTGATGATTTACAGATAAACACCTTGTTGACTTCATGTTACCTTTAACCCCACCTGGACTAGCACACACGTCATCGCAGTCCCTTCTAATAAGGCAGCCATCAGCCTATCTGCTTTGTCCTTCATTTGTGATACCCCCATTTGGGTCTCAATAAATGTCCAATTAAATGTCAGCATTGTCACTATCATTGTGACACCATGTTGTGACTGGAGACAGGTAGCCTATCTTCAATTAACACTATCGTACTTGCCAAAACATCATTCCATGATCATATGTAGAAAAACATCTAGACCCTTGGTCGGCTGACCACCATATGGCATTTTTTAGGTAAATTTTGAGGTTATCTTGAGATGATTTCGGGGCTTAGCATCACCGTGGCCCAGTCCTCGACCAGGCCTCCTCTTTGTTACACATCCTCAGGAAGCAGCCTGTAGCAGCTGTCTAACTCCCAGGTACCTATTTACTGCTAGGTAACAGGAGCATCAGGGTGAAAGAAACTTTCCATTTGTTTCCGCCTCCACCAGGGATCGAACCCGGAACCTCAGGACTATGAATCCAAAGCGCTGTCCACTCAGCTGTCAGGCCCCATGATTCATGATTTAAAGGGAATAATTCAAGACTCCTGTGGGTACCTGGGGCTCACATTCTGTTTCCCGGGACTCTAGCAAACAGATGCCATCTTAAAAGAAATTATCCGTAGCCATCCTGGCTGAGAAAGTCTTGGTTCTGCCACAGTAACCAAGGCTGCCACCTGGAGCAGCAGCTCACAGTTGAACTGTGCTGGTCAGAGCCACACCACCACTTATTAATGAATAAAATAAGTAACTGCAATTATTTTGTAATAGTTTTTATTTCAGTCAGGATCATCTATGGCACTATGTACAAGGTTCATTAGGCACACAGCCATAGCACACAGCCGAAGTGTCGTGCATGTATACATCATGCAACATGATAGTTAATTTGCGAATGCCCTTCTTTATGAACTTTTTGGGTTCCGAAAAGCCCGATTTCTTCAGAAAATTTGATGGCATTTTATTGGTGAACCGAACATATAATTTATGTGGCTTTATTGAAGGTGCTAAAATGGAGTCAGGTGCAGTGTGTTAGTGGAATGTGCCACCTCTTGTAGCAAGGGGTGGCATAATGCTGCTGTCACACTTGGTGACAAGACACCTGGCAGAAATAGCAGAGAAAAGATGATTGTCAAGTAGACCACAGGGTCAAGTAGGCCAGGGGTGGTGTCAAGTAGGCCAGGGGGGTAGTGAAAAGTAGGCCAGGGGGTGGTGTCAAGTTAAAATTGAGTCGAGTATTGGCTGTCCATTTGCATTGGCTGTCCAGGAACGCCGTGCAAATGGGCTCTCGGGATGGCGAAGTCCTTGAGGTAGGGTGGGGGTAGGGGGAGGTGGCTATCAAAACCAAGTTAATATTTGTATTAACAAAATTGCTTGCTCAACCCTTTATATAGATGACATTGCATTAGGTTTACATTGCTGGTTACTCCTGAAAATGTAAAATTGGAAAATGTCCAATAAGTGAAGGCGTTGCTCAAAACTCATTTTAAGCACGTCCTCCGATACGAATCAATGAAACAAACATGTACAGCACAATCTTTGGTATCTTTTATTCTCATTTACAAATATGTAAAAATGTACATAATATACATTATTTACAAATGAAATTGCTATTATTTACAAATAAAAGTGGATTTTATGTTTAATTAGTCATTAATAAATGACAATGGCACCTTAACACACTTGCAACAAAGGCTTCACCATTATTGTTACTCAAAAGTTAACATTATCATACTAAAAGCAGAAATTAAGCTTTTAAGATTTGATTCCAAGTCAAACTTACATCATTGCATAAATATGCAGAAAAATATATGCACTTACATTTCACCAAATAAAACTGGTTTTAAATTATAATTAACCATCTTCTGATAAGCCTTTACCTTATAACTATTTTCAGAATATAAGGGAAAAGGAATATGAAGCACAAGTTGAACTATGTAGTAATCCTAACCAAAAAAATTAGTGTATAATTGCATCTCATTCATTCACACGGAGTTATAGTACAGTAATAACATACTGCTTCTCATGACCTCTATAGTTTTACAAAATCCTACTACAGTACATGATGGTCTCATAGTTATGGAACAATGTTTAGTTAAGGGCAACAAATTGCAAAGGCATTCCAAACTGGTTATTTTCTTAGGTATATAATAACAGCGATCAAATTACAGTATAGTTTATCGTATCCAGATGTCGGGGAGGTGGTCATCTATTACTACACCTGCATAATTATACGTGTCTTTTTGGCAAACACCACAGATTCTTACACTAAATGTGGAAATAGTTAGTTTACTTAAAATTGTATAGTCCTTTCTATCAGCTTTTGTGACCATATTACCAAGCACTAGTGGCCAGGAGCTGGCAAGGGTTCAGGAGGATTTTACATGACACAGTGCAAGAGGGCAATTCCTACCCATTTCCCTTTAATTGTAACCGATGGATAAAATTACTATTCATTGTTTAATATTAAGTTAAGCTGCATCAACATATATATGCAGTACATATTCAAAAAGTGAATTAATATCAGTTAGTACAGATTAATGTATGGCAACAGTTACCCATTCTTTAATGAGCACCCTCGAGCACTGCTGCAACCTGACACCAACTAAGTAATCTTAGTGCCCAATGGATTTATAAAACTTAAATGATCACATCTCATTGCATAATCAAATAGGGTTAATAAGGCTACTTGAACATTTATTTTAATTGGTTAATAAAGATATAAATTAATAAAGATATAAATAAATAAAGATTGAATACAGTACTGATATGTGCCCACTGACCATTCCAGCCAGCTGTTACCATCAAAACACCATGCATAACTAGTGGCTTTATATAACATACAATGGCTTTACCTGCTATGTAATGACTAACACGCCTATTGTACGGATTAAATATTATGACCTGTAACTATGTCAACATGCCAGCCACCTTTATGTAACTTTATTGATAATTTGTCTAGCTCTGGTAGCAGCTGGGTGGGCCAACCAAAATATATGAATAATTTTATTTTGTTACATGCTGATTTAGCCATTCTGTTATCAATTAAAATGTTGCTTAATTGGTAATATGAGATGTGATCATTTAGACCAAGAAGATAGTGGTAACCAAGTGCCAAGATCAGCAGAGTATCACCTTGTCTTCTCTAGAAGTATTTGAATGAATAGTATTGCTTATGCAAGTCCTTGCCAGTCTTTCGTTAATATTAATGCAGCAAACGCCATCTGCAAAGATTTTTTTCAAATAATCCCTAGATAGAGGGACAGTTCAAAATTAAAGTGCAAGGATGGTAGTCTACTTGCCAACTGGACCTAACTTGCCAGGCAGCATACCTGACAGTTGGATATGATAAGTCAACCCATTCTCCTGTTTAAATGGTACACTTTGTAACTATGTGCACCATTGTACTGTATCATATACAGTATTATAACATTTGGTATTACAGTATTCACTTTATAGACAATTAGGATTTGGTACTACTGTATTCACTTTATAAGAGTCTGGAAAAAATATAGCAAAAAAAAAAATATATAAATATTCCTAGATGTAGTATAGCACACATTTGTAGTGAATTAGGCCTACGTTGGTTAGGTTTTATCAACAAATACGAAAACTTCTCTGGTTTGTCCAAATTCAATAGTACCAAACTCTAATGTCTAATTGTCCATTACATCATTATGTATGATGGTGCATATCATTATTACAAGCATTATGTAAAGAGGAGGATGGTTTGGACAAGTTATACGGTAGACCTGCCATATTGTCTTAACATGCTTGTTAATACACAAGCCAATCACCACTTGACGGTTATATATATATTTGACATTATTTAACGTGTCATGCGTATCTGATCACTGAAAGACTCTTCTCATGGCATAACAATCCTTTTTAAACTATTGCTCTCATATTACTGTATTCTGCATCATGGATGCGCTGAAAAAAAAAAAAATGCTTTGACGTGACCATTCACTCGAGACCTGACCTAAGTGTCGGGTACACTACCTGTTACACTCGCTCAACTCTTATAAAACATTAGGCTATTATTTACACTAAGCACATGGTTATCAAGATATGACATTTAGGAATATGAAGAGTAATAGGAGATATGTATTATTCAGTATTAGACCTCTCAGTCGACTAGTAGCCTCATACGATTACATAAATATATAGCAAATTTGATTGGTGTAAATTATTATAGGAATTAAAAGCCGATACAAACATTTACTAGGATTTACAATTACGACCCAATTTAAAAGATAAATGCAAAAATTAAATACTTTCCACAAAATGTGTTAATTTTGACTAAACTTGTACTAACAGTATAAAAGTACAGTACTGTACTAACATTGTTAGAAAACAAATATTTAAATCATAACTACAAATCCTAGAAAGATTAAATACAATGAATGATGAACAATGGATGAAAAATAAGAAAGATAAACATATGTACAAAATAAAACAAAATAGAGTATTAAAGAAAAATCCATCAATGGCAAGGATAACAAAAATAAATTCTTTGATTTGCTAAAAAGGCCAAACACAACTGTGTGTGAATATACTGTTGTTGTAGTGTTTATCAACGTTATATATCACGGTATTAGCTATTTACAGTGCACCAATGAACTTTATCTATTGTTCTTCATTAAGGCAAAAAGTGATGACCCACTGTAAGGTCAGTAAGTAAAAGATATAAATATTCTTTATAAACCACCAAGCCAATCTTGGGTGTGGAGAAACGCACACATTTCTCAAATTGGTTCACATCCACCAAGTTATTTCATGTTATTCACTAATATTCATGCTTTCAATACATAGTAAAGTATTTAGTGTAGTTGGCTCACAACTGATTTAGAACCCCAAGTTTGTTTCATGGGCAGGGCATGACATTAGGGCAAGTTTCCTTACATCTGATGCTTCTGTTCAACTAGCAGTAAATAGTAGTCTGGGAGTTACGCAACTGTTGTGGGTTCTATTCTGGGAATGTCAGTCTTGGGGAATCATTACATCTGAGAGAATTCTATTCACCCCAGCAGTAAATGGGCCCCCCATCCCTGAGAGTTAAAGGATTGTTGTGGGTTGCATTCTGAGGGATGTCAATGGTTTGGGAACCTCTATGACCCTAACAAACATCCTGTTCTCAACAATGGGAAACTCGACTTCTTGTCGCTCTCCTCAGGATGAGACATTCCCACGGCATCAAAGATATAGACAACCAAGTCTATGCCAAATGGTCACTAGGGTACCGAGCATAAAGGTGCAAATAGTGGTGGTTATTACAAACTACCATAGCAGGTTAGAGAAGGTATATACTTTACCATCCTGTATCTGCAATTCAAGATATAATATTTACCATCAAATAAATTTGATATTTTTTAGGGTTTTATTCAGTGGTGGACATATAGTATATTTTCCCTGGCCAAATTATTTCATATAGGAGTAGGGCAACATCCTAAGTTCCCCAACTTATGACCAATGGACAAGACCCCCCAAAGGTATTCCAACTTTCAATATTACTCGGAATATATGTGAATATGTTTACCAGAGATGATTTTTTTCTATCATGAAAGGAAAATTTAATGTTTTAAATTCGTTAAATGTTTACGAAAGGTTAAGTTAATCTTAAGTTACTCCACAAGTTAAGAAAATATTGAGGCCATACTATGGATCGAACCTCCTTTTCCAGACTACCCTGGCACACATGCTACCAAATCCAAGGTCGCAGGTTTGATCCCATTGTAATATTTTCTGACATTCTTGTATTTTCAATGTGTGTTACACAAGTTACTTGACCAAAACTTTCACAGACATTTATCGTTAAAGATAGTTGGAAAGTGACATAATTCTCAACATATAACACTGATGCATTCAGCTTTTTACCTTTAGTCTACTTTCAAACCCTGTAAGAACCATCAATATTTATGTAGTTAATAAATTGTAGATCTAATATTGGTGTGAACAAATTAGCCTTGACCAATTGATGATGTAAGCCTGAAGCTCTTGATAGTGAAATGTTTTAGTGCAGTTAGAGCTGCTCAGTGGTATATGTCATTAATACAGTGCACATAATCCTCGCCATTATGAACATAAATAATATTAGTACACCTAGCAATATCATATTCTTATATCTCATGATTAATAATTAGATAGAATATCAACAGTATTACATGAAAAATGCATTACATTCTAACACTCCATTTGGGCATATTCTTTAAAACAAAATACGTCCAATAGATATGAGATAATGGTGTAGCCAGGCATGAGCATATTGGTAATATGGCAATATACCATATTGGCATATGTTAAGTAATCTAACATGCCAGGATACACACACACACACACAGTACTTTGAGTCTGCATATACATTTGTCTGTACAATATTCACAAGGAAAAGCCTGGAAGTCTTCCTCTAACATAATATATATTGGGGAGGTCTCCCAATAATGCTTCCTCATGATAACTGCTTCACCTAAACCTGTTTTTAAGAAATTATGCTATACACTTGCTGTGTTCACACACACAAGTGCACACGTACACACACTCACATGCGTTTCATGCAAGCTTTGAAGCGTCTATTGCACCACTACCAAATTTGTAACATGTCTGCAATTTTCACATGAAGTACATACATAATAAAGAGCTTTCTCCATTTATGAGGTATACAATGCACTTATGTCACAGTTTCTGCAAATGAGGAATTTAAAAACAATTAATGATCCTTTCATTTGAACTAGGATAACCATGAAATAAATTTTTTGCATAAGAAACATTTCTGAAAATAATCATGTTACAAAACAATGAAAATTAAGAGCTTAGCAAATTATACTGTTAGAAATCTTGCGTAACTTATTGACACAATATGTAGTAGTGAAGGTATTGTCTGTATATTATGTGGTTACCATACTGGACACTTATACACCATAAACACGGCAAACACAATTGACAATTTATCCTACAGAATATTATTCGATGCCTCTGTAGGAAATGGGTTAAGAACAGGAAGATAGCATTAGTAATGTTGACACACGTACTTTAAGGTTATACTAGTTAATGCCACAAATGTTATAGTAAGTGATTTGCAATATGGACCCCATAGTATGTGGGTTGTAACATGGACCTCATAGTAACTGGTCTGCAATATGGACCCATAAATGATACAAGATTGAATACAATCTGTCTGGTTTATATAGTATTTATCCTCAATCTGCTTTCCACATGATTTAATATTGTGATAACTTTATAAACATTTGTCTAAAAATTACCCACCAATCACTCAAAGCATTTAGTTTAAATTTAAGTTTAGGTGCAAATGTATTCAGCAGGTTACCGTGAATGAGGTAAAGCCTGTTTGTTGTTGTGTTGGAGAGGCTGCAGGGTGCTCCGTGGCGGAGACTGCTGATGGCAGAGTGGCTGAGAATCTGGCACGGGGAATAAATTGTGTTGAATGGCATGTTCCTTAATTCCATTAGCTTGGTGGGAATTATTTGGGAGAGTGCTTGATTTAGGACTGTGCTGCACACCAGGATGACCATTCTGAGGAGCCAATAGGGGATTCGTACTATCTGCTGCATAAGTTTTGTCACCCATGCTTCCATAAAAGGCAGAAGTTGATTCATAGAGGGCACTTTGGTCAGTGTATATGGCATTGCCTTCATTATAAGGAGGTTCACTCTCCTCTTCCTCATCAATTGGACCCTGGTAGACAGAGCTGCCGCCATACATATCAGGGAGCCGTCCTGGGCTGTAATCACGGGCCAAGCGTGGAGCTCCTGGGGCACCCATAATACGTGATCCACTCAGTCCCTGTAGACCTTGCAATCCAACTCCAGTAGCAGGGCCAGGGAGAGGATCTTTTGGGTCTCTGCGTATCAATGGAGTTCCAGGCAGTGCCATGTCCATGGGAGGAGGGGGCAGAGCATCACTGTTCACATCAAAATCACCTGTGTTTAAACCTCTCTTTGGTACAGAAGGACTGGCCTTTCTTTTGCTGAAGTGACGAGGTAATGAGCCTGTTGTTGGCATCTGTAAAATACAGAATAAATGTGTTATTACCTGCTGATCGATGTAACTGGGGACCATTGCCCACTAAAATTAAAACAGTGGCTTCCAAATATTTTATTACAATGAAACATAATACATATATAAAGCAACACAAGGAATATCCAAATTTGATATTCATAACTTTTGAAACGGCTGTGAATGAAATGGCTTCCTAATGTCTGGAACAGAAAGCCTATAGGACTTATCAAGGTGGCCCTATGCTAACCACTCACTTCCAAGAGTGCAACCCACAACTCCTGGGTACCTATTTACAGTGCAAGGTGCTGCTAAATTAACTCCTTGGAACCTATTTACAGCATACTGTATTGCTAAATTAACTCCTGGGTACCTATTTACAGTGTACTGTATTGTGAAATTAACAGAATTATTAATTCTATTTATTAACAGGTAAAGAAATGTTGGCCAAATGTACCCTGCCTAGGAATCAAACTAGAGTCCAGGTTGTTGAGAATTCTGAGCGGACCTTATGGTTCCAGGAGAGGCTTAGAAAAGAGCTGTTCTGTTAAAACATGGCACACTATTTTCCCATTCCAAATAATGAAGGATTTAACAGAAGCCAAAGACCATAAATTAAGTCAAGAAGAAGCTTTCCTTGGCTATTGTCTTTGAAACAATATCTTGTAGTGCACTTGGTCTATGCAGTCATGTTACAACCCAATAGTCTTGAGCTCAATTCATGCAAAGAATAATACACCTGGGCATGTTTCCTTACACCTAATGCAGCTCACCTTGCAGTGAATAAATACCCGAGATTTAGGCAAAGCTAACCTAACCTGACCTGACCTGACCTAACCTAACCTACTTTCGCTACTTTGTAGCCTAAAATTGGGCTACTTTCGCTACTTTTAGGCCAAAATTGGGCTACTTTCGCTACTTTTTAGGCCAAAAATGGGCTACTTTCGCTACTTTTTAGGCCAAAATTGGGCTACTTTCGCTACTTTTTAGGCCAAAATTGGGCTACTTTCGCTACTTTTAAGGCCAAAATTGGGCTACTTTTGCTACTTTTTAGGCCAAAATTGGGCTACTTTTGCTACTTTTTAGGCCAAAATTGGGCTACTTTTGCTACTTTTCAGGAAAAAATGGGCTACTTTCGCAACTTTTTAGGCCAAAATTGGGCTACTTTCGCTACTTTTTAGGCCAAAATTGGGCGACTTTCCCTACTTTTTAGACCAAAATTGGGCTACTTTCGCTACTTTGTAGCCCAAAATTGGCCTACTTTCGCTACTTTGTAGCCCAAAAATGGGCTACTTTCGCTACTTTGTAGCCCAAAATTGAGCTACTTTCGCTACTTTGTAGCCCAAAATTGGGCTACTTTTGCTACTTTGTAGCCCAAAATTGGGCTACTTTCGCTACTTTGTAGCCCAAAATTGGGTCCAAAATTGGAAGCCCAAAAAAGTTTCTTTTCGCTACTTTGTTTCTACTTTCGCTACTACTACTTTTCGCTACTTTTCGTTTCTTTTCGCCCACTTTCGCAACTTTGTAGCCCAAAATTGGGCTACTTTGTAGCCCAAAATTGGGCTACTTTCCCTACTTTGTAGCCCAAAATTGGGTCCAAAATTGGAAGCCCAAAAAAGTTTCTTTTCGCTACTTTGTTTCTACTTTCGCTACTACTACTACTTTTAGCTACTTTTCGTTTCTTTTCGCCCACTTTCGCTACTTTGTAGCCCAAAATTAAGCTACTTTCGCTACTTTGTAGCCCAAAATTGGGCTACTTTCGCTACTTTGAAGCCCAAAATTGGGCTACTTTCGTTACTTTGTAGCCCAAAATTGGGCTACTTTCGCTACTTTGTAGCCCAAAATTGGGTGACTTTCGCTACTTTTTATGCCAAAATTGGGCTACTTTCGCTACTTTTTAGGATAAAATTGGGCTACTTTCGCTACTTTTTATGCCAAAATTGGGCTACTTTAGCTACTTTTTAGGCCAAAATTGGGCTACTTTCGCTACTCTTTAGGCCAAAATTGGCCTACTTTCGCTACTTTTTAGGCCAAAATTTGCCTACTTTCGCTACTTTTTAGGGCAAAATTGGGCTACTTTCGCTACTTTTTAGGCCAAAATTGGCTACTTTCGCTACTTTTTAGGCCAAAATTGGACTATCGCTACTTTGTAGCCCAAAATGGGACTACTTTCTAGGCCAAAATTGGGCTAGTTTCGCTACTTTTTAGGCCAAAATTGGGCAACTTTCGCTACTTTTTAGGCCAAAATTGGGCTACTTTTGCTACTTTTTAGGAAAAAATGGGCTACTTTCGCTACTTTTTAGGCCAAAATTGGGCTACTTTTAGGCCAAAATTGGGCTACTTTCGCTACTTTTTAGGCCAAAATTGGGCTACTTTCGCTACTTTTTAGGCCAAAATTGGGCTACTTTCCCTACTTTTTAGGCCAAAATTGGGCTACTTTCGCTACTTTTTAGGCCAAAATTGGGCTACTCGCTACTTTTTAGGCCAAAATTGGGCTACTTTTGCTACTCTAGGCCAAAATTGAGCTACTTTCGCTACTTTTTAGGCCAAAATTGGGCTACTTTTGCTACTTTTTAGGAAAAAAATAGGCTACTCGCTACTTTTTAGGTCAAAATTGGGCTACTTTCGCTACTTTTCAGGAAAAAATGGGCTACTTTCACTACTTTTTAGGCCAAAATTGGGCTACTTTCGCTACTTTTTAGGCCAAAATTGGGCTACTTTCGCTACTTTTTAGACCAAAATTGGGCTACTTTCGCTACTTTTTAGACCAAAATTGGGCTACTTTCGCTACTTTGTAGCCCAAAATTGGGCTACTTTTGCTACTTTGTAGCCCAAAATTGGGCTACTTTCGCTACTTTGTAGCCCAAAATTGAGCTACTTTTGCTAGTTTGTAGCCCAAAATTGGGCTACTTTCACTACTTTGTAGCCCAAAATTAGGTCCAAAATTGAAGCCCAAAAAAGTCTCTTTTCGCTACTTTGTTTCTACTTTCGCTACTACTACTACTACTACTTTTCGTTTCTTTTCGCCCACTTTCGCTACTTTGTAGCCAAAATTGGGCTACTTTCGCTACTTTGTAGCCCAAAATTGGGCTACTTTCGCTACTTTGCTAGCCCAAAATTGGGCTACTTTCGCTACTTTGTAGCTCAAAATTGGGCTACTTTGTAACCCAAATTGGGCCAAAATTGGGCTACTTTCGCTACTTTGTAGCCCAAAATTGGGCTACTTTCGCTACTTTGTAGCCCAAAATTGGGCTACTTTCGCTACTTTGTAGCCCAAAATTGGGCTACTTTCGCTACTTTCGCTACTTTGTAGGTCAAAATTGGGCTACTTTCGCTACTTTTCAGGAAAAAATGGGCTACTTTCACTACTTTTTAGGCCAAAATTGGGCTACTTTCGCTACTTTTTAGGCCAAAATTGGGCTACTTTCGCTACTTTTTAGGCCAAAATTGGGCTACTTTCGCTACTTTTTAGACCAAAATTGGGCTACTTTCGCTACTTTGTAGCCCAAAATTGGGCTACTTTCGCTACTTTGTAGCCCAAAATTGGGCTACTTTCGCTACTTTGTAGCCCAAAATTGAGCTACTTTTGCTAGTTTGTAGCCCAAAATTGGGCTACTTTCACTACTTTGTAGCCCAAAATTAGGTCCAAAATTGAAGCCCAAAAAAGTCTCTTTTCGCTACTTTGTTTCTACTTTCGCTACTACTACTACTACTACTTTTCGTTTCTTTTCGCCCACTTTCGCTACTTTGTAGCCCAAAATTGGGCTACTTTCGCTACTTTGTAGCCCAAAATTGGGCTACTTTCGCTACTTTGTAGCTCAAAATTGGGCTACTTTGTAACCCAAATTGGGCGAATTTGGGCTACTTTCGCTACTTTGTAGCCCAAAATTGGGCTACTTTCGCTACTTTGTAGCCCAAAATTGGGCTACTTTCGCTACTTTGTAACCCAAAATTGGGCTACTTTCGCTACTTTGTAGCCCAAAATTTGGCTACTTTCGCTACTTTGTAGCCCAAAATTGGGCTACTTTCGCTACTTTGTTACCCAAAATTGGGTACTTTTGCTACTTTGTAGCCCAAAATTAAGCTACTTTCGCTACTTTGTAGCCCAAAATTGGGCTACTTTTGCTACTTTGTAGCTCAAAATTGGGCTACCTTCGCTACTTTTAGGCCAAAATTGGGCTACTTTCGCTACTTTTTAGGCCAAAATTGGGCTACTTTCGCTACTTTTTAGGCCAAAATTGGGCTACTTTCGCTACTTTTTAGGCCAAAATTGGGCTACTTTCGCTACTTTGTAGCCCAAAATTGGGCTAATTTCGCTACTTTGTAGCCCAAAATTGGGCTACTTTGTAGCCCAAAATTAGGCTACTTTCCCTATTTTGTAGCCCAAAATTGGTTGCAAAATTGGAAGCCCAAAAAAGTTTTTTTGCTACTTTGTTTCTACTTTTGCTACTACTACTACTTTTCGATACTTTTCGTTTCTTTTCGCCCACTTTCGCTACTTTGTAGCCCAAAATTGGGCTACTTTCGTTACTTTGTAGCCCAAAATTGGGCTACTTTCGTTACTTTGTAGCCTAAAATTGGGCTACTTTCGCTACTTTGTAGCCCAAAATTGGGCGACTTTCGCTACTTTTTATGCCAAAATTGGGCTACTTTCGCTACTTTTTAGGATAAAATTGGGCTACTTTCGCTACTTTTTAGGCAAAAATTTGCCTACTTTCGCTACTTTTTAGGAAAAAATTGGGCTACTTTCGCTACTTTTTAGGCCAAAATTGGCTACTTTCGCTACTTTTTAGGCCAAAATTGGGCTACTTTCGCTACTTTGTAGCCCAAAATTGGCCTACTTTCGCTACTTTGTAGCCCAAAATTGGGCTACTTTCGCTACTTTGTAGCCCAAAATTGGGCTACTTTCGCTACTTTGTAGCCCAAAATTGGGCTACTTTCGCTACTTTGTAGCCCAAAATTGGGCTACTTTCGCTACTTTGTAGCCCAAAATTGGAAGCCCAAAA